TTTTTACTATCTACTAGGCATCCTCAGCGGGTCGGAGTTAGGGTTCAGCTTCACGATAGTCATGACAGAGCTCAAGTACTCTCTCGATATTAATTCAGCGCTTTGTAAATAGCTTAGTCGCGTATAACAGAGCATGGACGCCCTCGTGGGCCAGGCATATCCATGGGGCCTCAGGGCATACAAGGTTCAGATCAGGAGGGTTTGTGAAGGGGGTAGATAGGTTAGCGATGCGATATCACGAAATCAGATATTTTAGTCTTGCATTGTTTACCGCTGGTTTTTCAATCCACTTCGTACGTAAGGTAATGTTTGAAATCTAGTCCTCGCCGAGACTAGGGGGGGGGGGAGAACTACAGGGATTAGAGATCGGCATGGTAGACACGATGTCCCCCTGTAACGCATCCCGTTTATTCTTGCCTGGTCTATATACGTAGGTACCTACATATATGCTTACATTGTATTTATGTACATGTATACGATAATCCATGTTGGTTGCCTATGAATTAAAATAAGGTTGGTCAATTCAAACTCAAACTCGACTGTTTATGAACCCAACAAGCTGTAGCCAAGCACATGTAGCTTACAGCCTACATAACGCGTTGCATATACATAATACCTACATATGATACTTAAATATAATACTACCTACGTTATCTAAGATATTCGGTATCTAATCTTAACACATTAATCGAAAAAAAGGACGCGTTTTTCTCTTACTTATCTAGGGCGGTCATCGGACCATACTCGTGCTGTAATTGTATGATATCTGCGACGTATTTCGCACGTATTACCAACTTCTCGTAGTTCCCGTGGCACCAAGGTCCCTTTTTTAGCACGGACGGCGGGATAGTGGGGAGGGGGCGCTTGAAGTTTTGTTTCATTTTCTTCTTCGTATGTTCCATTTTGGCTAACGGACTAGTGTACCTAGATTACCTTTAAGCTACCTACATAAATATACTAGGGATAGGTACCTCGGGATGGTTGGTTCGCCCCACAATCGAGACAGAACTCAAAACCAACAATGTGGGTAAAAAAAGACCGTTGCGATGTAACCATGTAACGGATCTAAAAGGCGTTCCAGAATACCTTATCTTATGTAAGGTTATTTCCTTTGCGCGTGGCTCAATAAGGTCATATTCCCCGTTACTAGTGACTAAAAGCAGCAGGGATCCGGGTAATGGATTTCCCACCCCTTAACTTTAGAACTTTAGATTTCGAGAAGGTTAAGCTTAGCGCTGCCGATCAGCGGCGATGACGTTAGGTTTATGCACCTAACATAGGTGTACGAAGGTGTATTATTCTCAATACATTATTATGTACCTATCTATTATGTACCTATCTAATATACTATTAAATTCTTAATGCTACATCATTACAACAGTACGGCCAACGGGAGTAGCAATTAAGTTTAGCTCCGCCGCCCCCTTAGAGCTAGAAACTTTACTAAGAATAAGCTAACGGCATATGCCTTTATTTTATTATTTTTATTTTATTTTACTTTTCTTTTTTGGAATTGGCACGGTCCTTTAATAATCTCGTATCGTACAAGGAACTTTTATTTTGTGATCTACCCTAGGCACACGTGTATTAACAATCTCCGATAGGCATCCGGGGGGAACCACCCAGGTTAAGGACATTAGGAATCATATGGGGGGGGCCCTTGGCTATGTCTTCTCCCACGTGTTGATTACATGCAGTACACCGCGCAGATAGGTAGTAATAATCCACGTCACGTGACGCGATAGAAACAAACGGATCGCGTTTATCTACGGAAGTACCTAAAGCATAAAATAATGAAACAACCTATCATGCAAAATGATAAAAAAAAAAAGGAGGCCGGAAGTAAAGACGGTAATCATGTACGGTAGATATATCGACAAGGGTTAATGATCCATCGCATTGTGGATTCAACACATAGTCTTCCTAATCGAATTATATATGTCGTGTTAGTGCAGCGCAGCGTGCAAATGTATAAATTATACGGACTTTGATATATCCCGTATATGAGAAATATGACAACCTAGGATCTACTACGCCTCAGTGCCTCATATAGGGTTACAAAGTTTAGACTCATAACTTTTATCCAGTCTAGGATTTAATATGGTTTTTTTTTTACTTAGTTGGTGAAATACTTATGTAAAACATGTTGATATATGATATAATATAGACGAGATAAATACTTGCGTTCTAATAAAACCATAGTTACTTGAATAGCCTTTAAAGAAATGAACGATATTATTATTGGATCAAACACGACTGACTGGGTCTTCTATGAAAATATCGATTCCTAATACTAGTAGAGTCAAAAGGGCAGGAGGTATATACTAACCTACATGCCAACCCAGCCAGCTAAAACGGAGTTAAAGCGCTGGGGACTTTCACAACTCAATATATGTAATGATTCTTGAAAATTAGAAAGTAGAGAGACTCTGATAGGCTGCTCTAATGGCGGCGTACGGGTTCAGCAAAAAGAATTTTTCATGAGTTTTCTACAACATAAATGCATATCACCAAGGTCTATGTGAAGGTGACCTCGAACATAACCGGTGTTAAGTTTGGGCAAATTGCAAACTAGACTCACAACAAAGTTCCGTCGTCCAGTCCGATCTCGCTATATTATCCTAGAGTCAACAACAGTTTTCTCTAATACTTATTCTCACTACATGTTACTGATATATAAAGCCAGGATATATACAACTACTTAAAATAACTGCGTTAATATACTTCTACGTTTTGATTTACTAGCTGAAAATCTGCCGATATCAAACTACCCCATGGCTCTGCCTTTCCTTAGCAAAGGCCGTGCCTTGTTAGATTACTTCCCTTTAACTAAAGTTGACAGTTACCTTAACTATATTTTGCTCCGGAAATTCTAACGTTTAATTACGTCCTAAGAGTCGTATATATTATCGTTCTTAGAGAATATTAAGCCTAAATTATCATATTTATGTTCATTTTCTCTATTTCAAGCTCCTAGTCTCTCTCGTCCAGCTCTGCACATGACAGGGGTTCCACTAACTAACCACACACACACACAGTGAGAGAAAGAGGATAGATCAAGGTGTGGAAGAGAATTTTTGAGTTCTCAATTTAAAAGCTGTTATATACTATCTATAACTCCTTATATAGTTTTGATATAAGAGAAGTTGGACATAACTTGCCCTCTTTTCGTTTATAACTTTGACATATTTGTATTATCATGTTTTCCTTTCGGAACTCGTCGTATCCTACAGAGGATATACGCCCCGAATAGGGACTAAAAACCTAATTTAGACTATACAAAACCCTCACAGCAGAGTGACTGCTGTGGTATTTCATCAGACCCAAATTTCTTTTACAGATTTTACCTTTGTAATTGACATGTGACGTACTTCACAAGCAAGGTGTTAAAGCAGAGCCAAACTAGAAGGTAGATATATCTCTCACTTAGCGTATATTGCTCTATACGAGGCCGCGAATAGTCATTAGCATCGTATAATTCACCCATCCGTTACAGCACTGCGGAAACCCGATGGATGATTTTTCATGCCCGTTTACTTGCTTTTCCTATTTTAGGAAACTTTTGCGAGAACAAGGATCCACTATAGATAGGGCAGGCACAGCACAGTACAGCACAGCACACATCACAGACATCGTCTATGTAGGTATGTAAAGGATCAGGATCCGGTCCCGGATCCATCTTAGGGGTGTCCCCGCTTTCCTCCTGCGATGTTTAAACAGAGCCGCGAAGGAATGCGCAAGCGTGACTGAGTGCAAGTGCTATAGTAGATTCCAAGGTTCATTCTAACAAGGAATACTTTAGTTTAAAGTCTTGCAATTGTTCCCTGCTTAGGGGAGCGATCTGCCAGAACTTAGGAACTCACTTCACCCTAGCCCCTTTGGTACGGACAACTTATCGATGCATGCCAGATACCCATCCAAGACCCTACTTATGTTCATATGTAGATAGACGGATGCAGTGGTTATGGTTAATAGTATGATAAAGGCTCCTAGTGACCGAAATCCTACGAATAGGTATATACCTTATAAATACACACTTGCTTCCATTGCTAGCGATATGGAAGCTTCTTAAAGCAACAAATAGTTAGGGGCTAGTTGTTAGATATTTAAAATAACTACAACGATATAAAACCACGACTATATGGATATGGTTTGCATATTGAAATATATCGACCATAGCTATGGCTCTTGATTTGATGATATGCTTGGTTGAGTCTTTAGCACATATTAACATGCTAGATGATACGGATTAGTTAAAGTAATAAATAAAAACATAGGTTAACATGTCTAGGCTTAAAATAGAGAATATACCGATGATAAAAACTCACTTACTTTAAGATAATAACTGTCAGAGCTAATAGGCTAGGTACCTCTTAAGTCATTAGGTAGGTACATTTATGAATCTACTATGATCATGCTCTTAGCTGTCATCGTTCTAAACCCTCATATGATAGTTATAAGACTATAATGAGCTGGTCAAGGGCTTAGTGACATGTGGAACTCAGTTATATTAACCCTTTAAAGTAAATGATAGTTGGGTATCTGAGCTACAGTTTGGTCCTGGATTTCTCTTCGCCAAATGAATTTTTTTTTTCAAAAAAAACCCCCGCCAGAAGAAGTAATATTCCCTGGATTCAAATGCAAAGCTTCCGCTCAACCTACTTCACAAGAGAGCCAGGATAGAAACTTCACTTGGTCTTGTGAGATCAAACAGTGGACTTCTTACGAGGGCATTTTCATGGTCTTCAATAGCAGCAAGCTATTCATCGACACTGATCTATTTCGCAATAACTATTCGGTCTAGGATGATCAAACCTAAAGTAATAGAGTGGAAATCTTTTGTGTCGGTTTAATTTTTGTATTTTCTGTTCGACTTTATTCTATATGGTGATGTTTCAGACGCTAGAGCGGATCTCAAGGACAAGGAGAACAGCGCATGTTGGCTAGCGCTATACCAACATGATACTTGTCACCTGCTAGAGGACAGCAAACTTAAAGGTTCACCCTAAACATTGTCGGTTATAGTAATTGTAGTCAAGGGCGTCAAGGACACCGGCTAGATGAACTACAGTAGCTAGAACAACTAGGACATGAAATATCTGGTGTGATGATCCATATATATCGAAGAATCCCGGGCTGATACTCTCAGGGAACCTCGTCTGTATGGTCTAGTTAGTGATCTAGATATTATTGTTTCCCTCTATTGCGAGAATACCCGAAGTGGGAGGGAGTATTCTGAAGAAGAGTAATATCAACAAGCAGATATAGGACTATTAATTCACTTACAGCATATATAATGGCACCGATGAGAAACAATCCCCCTTCAGCTAGGTAATAAGGTAGGCCAGACTGCCTCATCATCTGTGCGAAGCCAAACATGACGATCCCATGGATAATAGGGGCTAATCCAGATAACCCCGTACATACAAACGTGAGCAAACGTAAGTTGCGCCACTTTGGGCCCTGAAACGTGGGTGCTAACACGATAATTATGGATATTGCGGAAAGAGATCCGATCTGTAAACAAGTATAGAGGCAATTCGTCAGTTCAATCCCGAGTAAAGAAGTTGGGTCATATTGGGTGCATGGTGTTTGCCTGATTCCGTTGACCCAGGAATGGTCGGAGTTATGATAAGAGAAGTAAACTGAAAATGACTATTACTTGCCATAGACCAGTAAATCTTTCTTTCTAACGTCTCACACCAGAAACCAACGTAGACGCCCGAAATGAGAGACCCTAGTATTAGCAAAATGATGCCGACAAAGTCAAGACGCAACCATAGAGCTTCTACTTCTCGAGAATGGCACATTAACGTATGGTAAGTGCTAGAGAGACTGAGACATGCCGTTGCAGAAAGTAATAGTACTGCGACGACACCAGCATCATCGCCACTGCGGTGCTGTAGGTGCGAAACTAGATAAGCCAGGCCACTTATGAGTAGAGCTATTGCTGGCACCAGGTGCGTAAAGATATTCACTGTCTCATTGTGTAGGTATAGCCAACTTCCGAAACAGACTCGCGCCGAGTTAGACACGGGTCGGTAGCCTCGTCGGACATATGGGTTGTCCTGGTACCAATCTGGAATTTCATCGTATAGGGCTAAAGGATGGCTGTGTTTATCCTGCCGTGTCTCGCTTTGAGAACTCCTTGTCGAAACATCTTCGCTGTTACAATTCGATTGATGCTTCTCGTCTGATGAAGATGGAGTAGCGGACCAATTGGACCAATTGGTCGTAGTATTAACCTCTTCTGATAGCGACGGCATCATGACCTACTTGTCCTTGAATATGTAGCATAATAAAGATAGAAGAGAGCGTCTTTGCTTATCCCTTGTTTGTTTTACACTTCAAAATTTTTTAGGGGAGATGTATCTAAATCGCTTGATTCGCATGTGCGGAGTGATGGGCGGGGTCGACGATCTTCTCCTATTACTTATAATTTGCCAGCTTCTGTGAAGAGCTAGATCACCGAAATACCGGGGATCTGGAACTAGGGATTCTATTAGTATTCTAAAATACCTCAAATTGTCAATGAGCATCGTGTTATATATTAACAGCAATGACATCATATGAAGCAGAACGAACCCCCTTTTTGATCTAGTGTGGCATCGCAACGCTTGTTGAATTTTCGAAGACCTCGGATAGATATGAGACGAGGGCAACCCGGAACTTCTCGGCATCAATTATACTCAGAATCTTCTATGCCTGTTTGCTGGTCATAAGTTTATAACCACCAGTAACATTGGAATCTCTCAATAGAAACTGAAGCAACGATGCGCGACATAGAAGCGAAGATATTAGTAAACATATGAGCTGCACAATACTATCTAGTATATGTGCGTACACTCCATGTTGGCCATCTGAAGAACGGCTAAATCCTTGACTGATTAGGTGGTACATTAGCATAAACACGACACAAGCTCACTAGAGCCCTTCTGCTGTTAATAGAACAATAATCCAATAAGACTGCACGGATGCGACGTAGTTTCTGAATATTTCGCCAAGAATTTAACTATAATTCCAGTTCGATATTTGCTATTTGGAGTTGTAGGGAGGCACCGGATAGCTGCCAAAGGCTGGGTACTGCCCATTTCCTCGAAGAGAACTATGTGTAGGTAGTGTTTCAGTCCCAACCTGGAGTTGCTGAAAGACTAGAATATGAATCAGCTATACCGATAATTGGTTGCGACTGATAATTCTTGAGCTGTAGGGCTTGAAACCGCGTGAAACCGCCCCAGCAATCGTACTTGTGCATTGTGACGGGTGCACCTACACATTAAAAAAACACAGTTAGTCCGGTCCAGTATATCAATGTGTACTGTCGTTGTTTCTGTGGCTAGTTGGAGCATTGGCATCTGGTACTCAATGCTTGTCCAATACGGTTGGTCCAATGATACCAGAGAGGCGAGATAATAACCGCAATAGGAGGTTGAGGGCATGGGAATGGTTTATAGTCATCGTTAATAATCGAAGCCCTTCCTAAAAAGTCGATAAGATTTGCTGTTTCATACGCGAAACTCGTCAAGAACATTGTCGCAATGCCTCTAAACATGGTTATATCCCCCTAGGTTACTCTAGCCCCTAAGATGAATCCAAACGTAGGACACTGGGAATTTGCACCGAGTAACTCCTTTCTTGTAGATGTTAATACTTGGATTGATAGGTCTTTGTGATAGAATGTTCGCAAGTTAGCCGTAAATTTGACCGGATGTCGTGGTCATGCTCGGTAGCTGAAGTGCTGGCAGATCATGAGTGACGTGGACATCGAAATCGCGAATCATGACCCCACATAGTAGTCTTCTGCATTTGATCCATCAGGCACGAATCGAGATAATGACGACCAGGTTACCAGATTCTCAATGAACCAGGATGACGGTTAAAAGTGGCGTAGAAACCTATTGGTGTAGAGCATAGAGTTGCTTCTCGCTTGCAGCCTTGAAGCATCTCTGTGAATGTGGCTCGCCAGGACACGCGCCGCGAATATGTACATGTGTCCTGGGGAATTGAGTCCTAGTTACGGAACTCTTTTCCAGATGAATAGACGAAACGAAGAACATTGACCCTTTGTTTGATAGAATAGGTATGAAAGCACCAAAGGAGCCTTGGGTTGCTGCTGTTGTAATATGCGCCACGATAAACCTGCAGTTTAGTATACGACATCAAAATACATCTCCATGTATAAACTGAGACGCGTTTTAATACCAAAACTTGGAGGGTTAGATCTTGAAAACAATATATATTACCTCCTTCAGTTGCCAAGTACGTTAAGGCTAGAGAAATTAGTAGGAGATGAGATTTATATGTTGGGTAGTTGAGGTGGTGCAAGATATGCGGATAGCTTCATGTCGTGGGAGGATGCAGGTGGGTTAGTAACAAGAAACCATAGCTAAAACAATGCCCGTCTTTCTGAAATTGCAAGAAAAGCAACGAGGTATTAATTATAGCTTAAAGATAGCTAAATAACTGAAGAATCACTTGAATCAAGGTTTGGAAACCAATGCATGGGTTTTGAAGCCACCATCTTGAATGCGACCGAAAATATCAAAAACCAAACCGGGCGAAAACAAACTAGAGGCTCTTAGAGATGGACCAAGATACAGTTGACATTATACTAAATCAATCTTTTTCATTCTCTAATTCGGACTATTCTATAGAACGTCAATAAATGACTCAACAGATCGCCTGATTAAAAATGTGTGGGAGGCAACAAGAAGAAGAGGGAGAAGGGGAGAACAGAAGGACGACGGGGAAGGGGGGGGACGGTGGGAGAGTTGGGTGTGTGAGGGCTCGAGTTTCGTAGGCGCATGATTTGATTGATGTGAGTTAAGAAGTGACAAGAAAAAAAAAAAAAAAAATAAAAAATAGGTACCTACCTTTGAAAGCGTGAGCTGTTGTTTGAGCTTCGACCAATCAAAAAATTCGACAAGACGGATCAGCTTTATCGAACTGGGGAAAGATTCTAAGCGCTGTGAGAGGTCCAAATCAGCATCGAATCAGACCTTCCAAGCATTTGACTGGCTGGTGGAGGCTATGCAGTATGTCTATCGGGCTGCGGGTTATTTAAGTCTAAACCTGACTAGGAAGTAGTTTAGACGTTTCAGTGAGATAATGCAACCTTAAATGTTAAGGTAGGCAGGGTAGATAGAGTGCGATCGGGTCCAAATATATGGGTGAAAGGTGCGTGTTGCCTACCTACCTGCCCTGACTGTTGGCATTTTATTTAGGTACCTTATAAAGGTATTTATTTTAGTGCCAGCGAATTTTAAAGTGAATCCATTTTTATGGAGGGGGAAGAGGAGGAAGCACCAATTTCTCCCACTGTAGCTGATTGTACTAGACTACCTAACGTACTTACTGATTGTACACGACCCCCCGCCTAATATATAAGCAAGCTCACCTTTCTCGCTGTCGCGTCCCGATCGAATGCCTCCCTCCCTTCCGTTTTCTCTTGACTATATTCCTTCCGTACAGTAGAAACATTCCCGTTTGCATCTATTTATTAGAAAGCTATTCTCAGATTCAATTGATCATTTCAACTGATTAACTTGCATCTCTCCAATAACGCGTTATCAAAACCAACACATTCGAAATGGGTCCCAAGAAAGCAGACGGAGCTCCCAAGCCCAAGAGCACTCATGCTTCCTATCAGGTATGTGCAGCGACAGCTATACCCGGCATTTTACTGGACCACCTTAAGTACTAACAAGTTATAGGACATGATTACTGATGCCATTGTTCATGTACTTATCCCCATTCCTTTGCCTCCGGCGCATCGTCTATTGCCTAGTTGGTGTTTGTGGTTGGGTTGCATGCCAGGTGGTCATCCTCCAGTGCTGCCACTCAACCTTACATGACTAGTATATCATTTAGATTTATCGAGTGAGCATGCTGACGCGTCTTTTTTCAACTTCAGCTCAAAGAGAGAAATGGTTCCAGGTAAGGAAATCCGAGCGTACTCCTGTCTTAATATCCACTATTTTAGTGGTCGCGTTTACCCCCGATCAATCCGTGCTAACTATATCATAGTCGTCAACAACTCAAGAAATATGTCAAGGCAAACAACACCATCAATGTCACAGACAAGATGTTTGACTCTCTATTCAACAAGGCCTTGAAGGCTGGTGTTGATAAGGGTATCTTCGAGCAACCCAAGGGTATGTCTTATAAAGATCCATTCCCTATCGTGTCTATGTTTGGGTGTTAACTTGTTATAGGACCTTCTGGTGGTACTAAGCTGTCTAAGAAGTCTAAGCCTGCCGCAGCTAAACCAGCTGCCAAGAAGGAGACTGAGAAGGACGCTCCCAAGAAGGCTGCCCCGAAGAAGGAGACCGCTACTAAGAAGGCTGCCGCACCAAAGAAGGCTGCAGCTCCTAAGAAGGAAGCTACTGAGAAGAAGCCTGCAGCGAAGAAGGCTGCCACCACCGCTGCCCCCAAGAAAGCTCCTGCTGCCAAGAAGGCGGCGCCCAAGAAAGATGTAAGTTTGCGCGTGTCCTTGTTATCCTCTACATTATCTAACAGATTTAGGCCCCCGCTGCTGAGGAAAAGCCTGCTGCTTTGACGAAGACCAAGGCTGGCAGAGTTACGAAGACTGCTACGGCAGCTAAGCCAGCTGCTAAGAAGGCCGCGCCCAAAAAGGCCGCCGCACCCAAGAAGGAAAAGGCACCAAAGAAAGAAGCAAAGGCTGAAGCTGCAGCATAAACATTCGCATCTTGATTTGTGTCATTCGAATTGCGTGTTGGGGTTTGGCGGTTTAATGGCGTTTGGGGGACAGGGTACAAATTTACGTGTGCGTCTTTACTGCGCCATGAAATTCGGCGTGTTTTTGGAAGGGTCGGTAAGGATTTCAGTGAAGGGGGGCGATAATAGCTCCGAAGCGTTGCAGATGCGTCCGACATACCTTCAGCGGTGCCAGCGGCTCGTGTGCATATTGTCCTTCCCTTAGCGGGATCATGGTTATTTCGGTTGGATTGCACATATTCCCCAGTCATGGCATCTGTTAGAGGATGGGTATGGAACTGACGACATCATGAGTATACTTGTAATTATACCAATGAAAAAGAGGGCCTTCGCACGGCTTCCGACCTATGTTTAAATTTTGTCGCGGTTGTGAAGTTTCTATGCAATCTTTGGGTTAACGCGTTTGCTCACTATCGATTTGTTTACGACTTGGCTAGGTAGGATTGCGGGGCTCCTATCGGTGTTGACAGTGGTTATCACGTATGGTAAGAGGGGCTCTTATATTAATCTGTTATATATTCCTAACGTGGTGCATTCAAATAATTCTGATTGGTTGTAAATAGCTATACCCCGGTAAATATAAAGTATCGCATCCATTAAAAAATAATTTATTCTAGGGTATAAATTACGGGCTTTAATTATATTATATTTATAATAGTTTAAATTTTATTTAACTTTTGTTAAAACATTCCATAAAAAAATGTGCTTAAATTATTGTTAAATATTATATGGTTAATTATTATGGTTTATACTTTAAAATGAATTGTTTTTTAATGGATGCGGTATATATGTATTATTTATATTGGTACGACCGTAAACATAAACAAGCGTATATGTGTGGTTATGTTAATAAATTTATATTTAAGTAATTTAGTAACCATATATAAATATATTTCATTTAAATTGGTTGCATATAAAAAATGTAAAACAAGTTACAAAATTAAACTATAACTACATATATATAATGCACAGTAATTATGTAGTTAATTTAATATAATTATTACATGTTTTAAATTATGTAAATATGATAAAACAACTTTAAACGTTAGTTAAATATAATCAAAGGATTATTTTGTAAAAACAATAATCGAATAGTTTAAAATTTAAGTTAATTACTTAAAAATGTCCTATTAATAACGAAATATAAAATTGGTAAATATAATATTACATAATATAACTTTTTACACCTTAAACTTAAACTTACAAACTTATGACTTACAAATTTTAATACCATAATTTTCCCTTTCCATTATAGTTTAAATATTGCATCCATTAAAAAACAATTCATTTTAAAGTACGAACCATAATAATTAATTATATAATATTTAATAATAATTTAAGTACATTTTCTTATAAAATATTTTAATAAAAGTTAAATAAAATTTAAACCATTATAAATATAGTATAATTAAAGCTTATAATTTGTACCTTAAAATAAATTATTTCTTAATGGATGCGGTATTTAATGTATTACCTTAGTTTTACTTTAGTTGTAGATTTACGTTATGCTTTTTCAGCTGATAAACCCTTTTTAGATTAGCTTCGTATTAATCTATACACTATACCGTTTCTGTTACCTATTTCGCGCGAAAGTTTGAAGCTATTGCCTTTTCAATGCAACAATTTTGGGGTCTAGTATTTGGAGGTTTAAGGTATGATAGAACTTTATCGTTATCAAACAAGACGGTGTCGCAATCCGATAGCCCGCTACCGAAACTTCCGAAGACTCTACCCACTTCTACCGCTCAAGCCTAGGCAGCCTTAGGCTGACCACCTTACACATACCTAACCCGTAATCAATACAGTACATCTCTCCCATGTTCTTATTTTCTACTGTATTTCTACTGTATGTCGTAGTCTGGAGGGGGATCAACAACTACACATACAACTACACTACCACGCTGATATCGACGTCGACCCGACTCATGTATCGCTAACATATCATGGCCAGCCTAACATAGCTTCTATTGCTTTCCCTGCACAATCCGTCTAAACTGTGCTTTGTTAGGCTTTCCATAATCGCATCATGTCTTCGCGAGATCAGTCTCTCAGCTCTAATAACCCCTTTCGTCGGAAGCTAGGCTATCCCTCTCTCTCAACCGACGGCCTCGCTTCTGTACCCTCCTCGAGTTTCAATAAACCCTCCGATCCTATTCCACGAACACCATTTACGACTTTCAAGTCAGCTCCACCTAAAGATGACGAGCAAAATGAGCACAATGAATATAAGGCGCATGAGGGGAGAGAGAAAGAGGTTGCGCCGGTACAATCAAAGCCGAAGAAGGTTATTAAAAGAGTTCGAGTCCAGTCACCACCTCCATCGTCACCCGAGGATTCCGTGCCCGTCAGCCGGTTTCCTTCCGTAAGCGATGACGATGACGATGGATATGATAGCGACAATAGCGATCTACCAGAGTATACTGATCGCATTGATCCACCAGGCACGGATTCCTTTGCTGTGCAAGATGGAGATAGCTCTGATCTTGGCCGATTAGAGGCTCCAGCGAATCCCTTCACAAAGACGCTACAGGATTTAGAACAGTCCGAGCAAGAACAAAATACTAAAGCACTGACGAAAGGTGCCCTTGATGTTGACTCGTTTAAGAGACTTCTATTAACAGGACACGCAAATATTCCAAACCACCCATCCGCGTCAGCACCTGAATTAGGAGGGTATCCGAGGGCTCAATCCCCCTTACATGGTGGCGAGACTAGCACGGATGCACGTCCTAGAGCACGCCAGTCTATATTTGATACTATGCCAAAAGAAAACTCTCGAATTTCACAAAAGAATTTCGGGTCGGAGGATCCTAGGGAGCGAGGTGGCGCTCTGTCCACGTCTCCCCTTTCTTCGACCCATCCCTCTTCAACGAAGAAAAAGCCACCACCTCCTAGCTCGCGACATGGAAAACTAATAAAGATCGAGTTGGGAGCAGGTATAGAATCTCATACCACTAGAAATCCAACACCTCCTGTATCTATAAATGTCACCACGTTACCTTCTACTGGACCGTCACGTAAACCCAACTCCCAGGCAGGCACCCCGTCACAATCTCCGCTTTTAACAACTGATGTGAACAAGCCGCTCCCGCTAACACCTTTCCGTCCCTCTGTGGAAGAGGCAGTTGATTCCCCATTCGATCGCGAGGCTATAGGAAAGGTTCCCGAACCCTTCGCTGATCCGCAGGCGAATTCCGAACCGCCAACATCATCCCTAGCTGCCCAGGTTTACTCTGAGTCGAACGGCATCACGCAGTCTCGCAAACCCGCAGCTCCTCCGCCACGCCGACACGGAAGAAGCGATAGTAGAGCGCCTTCCATAAATACTACGAATGTAGATGAGGATACACCACCAAGATCATCACTAGATTCGAATCGGTCGCGAACTGATAGTCTACGCGCGAATACTAACTTGGGTAATAATTCTAACGTACCCGTTCCACCACCACCTCGCCGGCCAAACCATGCCAGACAGGGGAGTTCGTTTGCGAGTCCAAGCCAAGGGAATTTTACTCCGGCCTCTACTACAGGACCAGTCGAAGACAACCGCAACCCAATAGGAACGGGTTTTGGGTCCGTGAGTAGGATTGGGCAGACAGAAACCCCGAATAGTGTAGCGACTATAACCACAAACAAGGAAGGCCTGCCGAAATTATCCCCGCCGCCCCCGCCGCCTACTAGACAAGCCAGCACGAGACGCCCACCAAGCGTCAGGAGTATAGATCTTAGTGGCGGGCCTGGTATAATAAGGCGAGTTAGTAAGGAGAAAGATGGAACAGTGCCACCACCTCCACCACCTCCCCCGAGACAACGTGGTAGTAGCCGTGCGAGTGTGGAAAATTCAGCTGTGTTTGCAGATAGCATGGAGAATACAAGTGGTGATACCCAGAAGCCCGCCACAATCTCCAATCCAACTACTGCTAAGGCTGCGATCGATACCAAGCAAGGGGCGGAGATATTAGCGGACCTCGACGCATTGCAAAGGGAGGTCGATGCACTGATGGGAAAATACGGAAATGGTGGTGGGAGCTAAGAAGTGCGCACCCTCTACCCTTTTGGAAATGAAATTTCAAACTAGGAGGTTCTCGTAGTGAGAACTAATAGACACTCATGGGAGTGTACGAGGACCCTTTAAAAGAGAGAAGATCGGAAGGGTAAAATGGCCTGGACCGGTTCTTCCGCGACTGGATATGAGATATGAACTATGCGTCACAAATTATGAACGTTATATAGGATCCTTGTACAGTAGGTAATTGTTAATGCTGGGGCCGCCAGATGTCCGGATACACTGGTTCCCAGCCGGGGATTATAGCGCAGCGCAGTTATTCTGGACCGAGGGAAAGAATGAAGCGTAAAATTTGATACCTCCCTGTTTTGTTCCGCCGCAACGCATGGGTGTGTAAGTATGGTTGGTACCACATGTCCATACCTAGGTACCTACCTATATACCACTTATTTTTAGTCGTAGGCCCGTGATAGCTCGCGGTTTCGGGTATATGCTGGTGATTTAGTATTTATATTTACTTTATAGCGTCAGGGACGTTGCGGAGTTAATTTCATAGAGGTGTGTGAGGTTGTATGGGTAGTATAGGTTATAAAATAGGGGTATGAGTGAGGAGATTGACAATTTCTCACGGGGGATTTGGAAGAACTTTCGTAAGCTTACTGGGAAACTTGGTACCAGTATTAAGAAGACTACTTCCTAAGCCAGCTACTTAGACCTAAGGTTTTGTTGGGTTATAAGTTGGCCCTTGAGATTAGCATATCTGCTGCAATTGGTAGCTTTCTGGATCTATCAGTTAGTATATACTTTCGAGTTGCTTTCATTGAGAAATGACATTGTTCAGTATGTTTCCAGGCGGCCTGTCTTGGTTGTGTCCTAGTAATGGTCAATTTTGGACTTTATATAGGTATTTATATATAAGGCACCTAGGCACCTAAAGTATATGCTCTATAGCATACCCATGTGATCGAGATGTGGCTTATGTAGTCCTGGTATTTATGACATCTTAGTGAGGAAATATCATACGCAACAAGTCCTATCTAATACCTTCGAGAGATTCTGCTATGGAGGACCTGGCTTTCACGAGAACTTACCTCGAAGGCTGAAAGACTAAGGGGCATATTGGTAGTATGAGGAAATCAGATTCGACTGAGTGAATTAATACGCATTTATGAGGAATTGTGGAGAATATGCTGGAATTAACAAACCTGGTAGTCATTCGCTACTATGCCTAGGTATGTAACCCTTCCACCAAGGTTCTCATTACATTGGAGTATATGAGTAGAAGGACTATCGAGCTACTTCCTCCTCGGTCTAACCTCTCCCCTCCTTTCATGGGTTGTCTCTTCACACTGCTTCAGTTCCTGGAAAGACAAATGGTTCCTGAGACCTCTATATGTCGAATATCATGTATCCTCTGGCTGTTGCTTGCCGGTCGTTTAATATATGTTCTCTTACCTATATAAATTACTGCTGGGATATCAAGGTGGCACCTCACTAATAGCTCGATGAACTATAATATCCGGTGTTGAGTCCTCCAGACTTGGTAGGTAGCACCATCCTAGCTTAGCAATGAAGATACTGCTTTGTCATGGTGAGATATCTTCCTAACTCTTACAATTACTTTCAAGTTCTGTACTTAACTGCTGGAATAGGAAGTCAAGTCTCTACGGCGATTTAATACGCCCCGAGAGGCAACGGAATCGCCCGGTTGATTTGTAAGACTATGGCCGTCGATATGAAAGATCTCGGCCAGTGACCCCTTAGAGCTAAGCGGCGGTATCCGATGGTTTCCAGGCAATAAGAGAAGGAAATGTTGAGTGTAGATCAACAGGACGAGGCCTTCATGTACCTGCCGATCGAGGATGTTGGATGGTCGATTATTGTCCTTTGACTACTTACCATATGTCAATACGAACATGCTAAGAGGTGGCATGATAACTCGTTTATCTTGATTTAAAGCTGTTGGGAAGTACGGGGTATTGCCGAGAGAGTTTAAGTGGCCCGGCAATGGTGACAACGCGCACCGGCAGGACGGAGAAGCTAATCTAATGGAGCAGGTGGTAGTGCCAACCGATGTTATATTAAACTTGAGGCTCGAAGCTAACGCCGGGACCTGAAGAAGACCAGGATACGAATTGCCTTACCGCCGCCCCTCGAGCCCAAAAGAAGCATTTTATGACATTTTCCCCGCCACCCCAACGGTTCATACACTTATAAGCTTTGATATCCGCGCCAAGCCAAAGAACCCGACGGCTAAGGAAAAAGGTCAAGATGATGTGGGTAACTATAGACGGTAATCTGACAGGCCCGCATAATTCGACTATAGTTAAAAGAGCGATCATAGCAAGATCGGGAAGGTCTGGCAGTTATGCGTCCGAAAACCCGAGATCTATAACAAACACTTGGAGATCATAGTGGCCAGTCGCATGATGACATCGAATCTCAGCTTCTGGATTTGCAATTCAGCTCGTCGAAGATCCGGCCACCTCCCGAGCTGATAAGCGTCTTCGAGCGCCAAGAATCCGGATATTCCTGACCCCTGCGACACGATTCTCAGACTTACCAAGTTGCAGAACCCGATCATACCCAAGATCCCAACCACGACCCTCCCCTCGCTGCCGGGTAAATTGTCCTGGACACCTACCACATGGAGAAGGCTTCTTTCTTCACCGTATTCTGGAGAATCAACTGATGATGCGATACGCTGAGGGGACAATTGTAACTGCGTTCCTGGGAGCGGCCGTTATCATGATTAATAGGGGTTACAATCAACGAATATGGCTGCTGATTCCGTGACTCCGCCACGTTCTCCGACAGGATGGCTGCGTTAACGAGGTGAAGCGAGAATGTTATCTTCCGCCCGTCGGACCTGTAACGATCTCTTTCCGAAGTTGGAAGACGGCTTGTTATCGCCTATACGATGCTCCCCGGACGTGTTCCTGCAGCATCGTTTCTGTGACGGACGAGTAAGATTGACACACTACTGTGCCTTTGCCTGAATCAGGATGCTGGTCATTGGTTAGATTGTGAATGCTAGCGACCCGTCACGAGGGTTACTTCGACTACCGTGTTGATATAGCTATGACAGGTCATATCGCCGTCGAGAGTATGATTCCATCGGCTTGGCGTCTAGTTTTAACGCTTGAAGGATACAGCCTTCATCTACCCTACTTTGCAGTTTCCCGAATGCGTCTAGAAAGAAAATATTGTTCTAGAAACATACTTCAGCAGAGTCTTCGAGTTCGATATCGTCCTCCCGCCGGCTATAAAAGGCCCCATTCCTCTCTTCCAAGACGAGAAAAACTCCTAGCCAGCAAGCAGCTCGAACAAAATCCTTAGCAGCTCACAACTAGTTCGACATAGTCTGAACATCTTCAAGATGAAGTTCACCACCGGTATCTCCCTTTTCGCCACTGCGGCCAGCGCTCTTTCGGTCGACCTAAACAAGCGTGACTCTCCTCTCGATGTCAAGCTTGAGATGGTTGGCAACACAGCTGTCAAGGCCAGCATCACCAACACGTACGTATGAGCTGAGTTCCTAGGGGTTTCCCCCTTCCCCCGAGAAGTCTAAACGGATTTAGTTTAGGAATCAGAGCTGACATCAATTCTTAGTGGTGCTTCTGACCTGAAGGTCTTCAAGACCGGTACTTTCCTGGATGAGAATGCTGCCACTGAGAAGGTTGCCATCTACCAGGGTGGTAAGTTTTCTGCGAATGCGTTATGTACCATTAGAAGAGACTAACTTGGCCTGCTAGGTAACAAGGTCCAGTTCGATGGCATTCGCCTACGCGTGCTAACCACTGGACTTGACGAGGAAGCGTTCAAGACTATCGCTGCTGGCGAGACTGTCGAGGCCACCTTCGACGTAGCCCAGGCTTACGACCTCAGCGCCGGCGGCAAGTACGACGTTGTCTCCCTAGGAGCCATGTCCTACGCCGAGCTCAACACCACCGACCTTGCTGGCATCTACTCGGTTGCTGGAAGCACCCTAACCGCCGAGGTTGATGGCGCTGCCGCCAAGGAAGTCCGCCGCCGCTTCCACGCTAAGCGTCTCGCCGTTCAGTCCGACTGCACCGGAAGCAAGCTTACCGCTACCAACACGGCTATCAGCAACTGCCGTGCTTTGGCCTCAGCAGCCCAGACTGCCGCGACCTCGGGCGCTGCCGCCAAGGTGACCGAGTACTTCAAGTCGAGCTCCAGCTCTACTCGCAGCACAGTTGCCAGCTTCTTCTCGAGGGTAGCCAGCCAATGCGGCAGCACTACATCGGGTGCGCGACTATACTGCTCTGACGTGTATGGCGCGTGCACGAGCGGTGTTCTTGCGTACACCTTGCCCTCATCCCAGTATGAAGTCAACTGTAACCTGTACTTCACCGCGCTGCCGGCCTTGTCCCGGACTTGCCACGCCCAGGACCAGGCGACCACAACCCTTCACGAGTCGACCCATCTCTACGGCACCGATGACTACGGCACCTACGGATACGCCGGTGTTCGCAGCCTCTCGGCATCCCAGAACCTGAACCACGCCGATACCTATGCGCTTTTCGCCAACGCTATCTACGTCGGCTGTTAAACGTGTTGCTATTCACTCGTTGTGCTGTAGGATAGGGGGGCTATGGTTTCGGGAATGGAACACTAATACTGCTTAGGGGAAGCTAGAAAGAAAGAAAAAAAGGGAAAAAGAAAAAGACTGTCCAAAAGAGTTTATCTTTTTTTTCTTCTGGCTTCTCCTAGAAGGAGCTTGTCAAAGGAAATGTTGTTTCGTGCACTGTCTTCTCCCGACAGTGGGACAAAGCCCGCAAGAAGGCGGGGAGCGATCGCAAACTTCTCTTGGATACAAAAGCGGGATTCACGTGTCATTCTACGATTGTGATTGTCTTTTTTTAATACGCAAATAAATGTCTTTATCTAGTATCACAAGGCAATTGTTCTGTCTTATAAGCATTCGCTTGCAAGTGACGTGGTTTAAAAACATAAACCACACGTGTTCAGGGTACTAGAGTAACCATCACACCTCACTTCACTAATCCTTAGATATTGGCTGGCCACTGCGCAGTTTAGATTTTCTTTTTTTTTGGCATCCTCAGGAAGGGTGTTTCTTACCACTTTAAATTTTGATCAGCAAAGCCTATATTGAGTCCGCTCAAAACAAGACGGACTCAAATTTCTATTCGTCTCTCTTTTCGATCTTTACCCACCCCTTCGGTTCTGTGCAGCGCCCTTGCTTTTCGCATCCATAGGTATTTAGGTATTTGGTCTACCTGATAATCATGCAGCCTTGGCAAGCATCTACTACACAATATGAACATCACCAAGCCGGACCGCAAATATGTCAAGATAACCCGATGGATGACATGCGCGACGCAAAGAATTCGGTTGCGTTGTTCGCCGACTACATCAACCGGCTACGGCCTGATATTCCCCGGCCACACAGCACCGTTGATCTTCACAGCTTTTCGCCGTCTACAGTTAACCGCCAGGGATCCACCGGCTCTGTAGATGGATCACGCAGAAGTTCATCGAAACGGCATCACAGAAGCGTGAGAAAGGAATGGGCCGAGTCACCCCAGGGGACGCTTTGGAATCATATCAGTAACACACTCCAGGATGTCGCGGCCGAGTTACCGGACGTGAATCCAACGGCGATCCAAGAGTTCATTAGCGCGCCAGAGATATTAGAGCTGGGAGCTGACTTCGTACGCTACTACCGCGAAAGTAGTCACTCCATGGAGAAGCCGTACTGGGTGGCTGAGGACTTATTCTTCGATCTTCAGTCTGTGAAGCAAGGCGACGTGGTGGCTAGGCGGTGGACACGTGCGCGGCCAGAAAAGAGAGTAGGATGGGATCTAGTTGACCATCTCACGCGATTCGTGCTATTGGCAGACAGCTTCCGTAGTCGGGCGGAGCGTCAGGACTGGAATACATGGAGCGATGGTTTCGTGAGAAAAGTTTCCTTCTACCTATGCATCCTGCGATGCTTCACAGTCAGAGATGCCGAGCAGAGACAAGCTGCGCGAGAGGCTGCAAGAGAGGCTGCACGAGACCGAGACTCGAAATTCTTAAAGAAAAAAAGTTCCCGCAACAGCAGCAGTAGCAAACTCTCTCGCAAGAGCAAATGACTATCAGTGTATGCCCTAGGGAAAAAAGACCAGTAATCCGGGATTACGTGTGTTATTAGATCCATACTAGGATATGGAGGAAAGAGGAGGAAGCGCGAGGCTAAGTACCAAAAGCGCAAGGACGCCAGTGACATCGTGACTCTGATGAAGTTGACCAGCAAACAAGTACGTTTAGCCAGGGATACATGTGTTGTCTTCGAGACGAACAATGAATTGATATCAAGCTACCTAGGTAACATAGCAATGCCATTAATAATATTTCTGACATGCGTAGATTCACATTAGTAAGTAATTCTGATACGAATTGTAGGAATACTTAGCAACTCTGATGATATCTGTGTCCATATCTTGTTGGGACAATGAACAAACACTAAGTTGGGGAGAGGGACGCTTTGTTGAAGGCGTATAAAGAAAATGGATAAAGGGAATGATAGTATAAGAGGTGAAGAAAAGGTACTCGTTTTATTTAAATAAGGGCCAATGGCATGAATTAATATAATAATTAAATTCTTCAATAAGAAAGTGAGGGATTGGAGAATTGATTGAAATGAAAAACATTGAAAGGTGAGGATACATTAGGTACCTTAGGTATGCATATAGGTATTTCTATGTACTTAAAAGAGGTCCGTGTACATGTACATCCTAATACGGAATGCAACAAAAGCAACTTTGAGCGTTGTTTCTAGTCGAAGTCGCGCCTTACCATTGTCTCAATTAGGTCGTTAAGTCACAATTTAGCGTTTGTACCTTCTCTCGTCATCATTAAACTTCACAGCCTTTCTACATCTTCACCTCCAAGTCTCTTTCCTTACATCATTCATTTAATCCTCATCTAAGCATATTTTTATTCAAGGCATCGCGTTCTCGATCTTGTTCCCCAAAATTTCGCGCTCTTAAACAATTTCACTTTTCACTACTCATCAACTCATCATGGAGGAGGAATCTGATATTGAGGATCGCGTCGCGTTTGAGCAAGATGAGGATCTTGATGAATATGACTCCGATGAGTCTAGCTCAGATGATGCCAATGGTTTTCTAGACATGGAAGCTATTGAATCCGATGGTGAATCAGATAATTCTGATGATACATCCTCAACCAAGGAACAATTCTTTTTTCCCCAGTTCACATCACTACCCCCTGAACTACGCGCTCGCATCTGGGAGTTCTTCGACCCGGATCTTAGAACTAAAGCGCGAGTATTTCAAATGATTATCAGGACGAACCCAATTGAGTTCTGGAGAAGCGCAACTCTAATAGAGCAGACTGCGCCGGCGAGAGCAATGTTAGCTACACATCAGGAGAGTCGTGCGCTGGCATTGAAATTTTATCCTGATACTCTTGATCTGCATCGAGGAAGCGGCGTTATTCGTTACAACAGTGAAAGAGATATTGTACTCCTCTCTCTTAGCTCTCTCCTCGGCCCCAATGACATAGAAGAGTTCTTTTCATCTCTCGGAAATATCAAATACATTGCCTTTAGCTACCTTCGCGCAGCAAATGAGGAGATTCTCTATTCGAGGCTGGCGACTCATCCGACGGTGAAAGAAATATTCTACTGCTATGATTGTTACGAGTATTCTTCCCGCGATTTAATGTGGTGTATATCTGATTCAGTCCAGCGCTTCTACACCCAGCAGACAGAATATGATCCAGTGTTGGGTCCACGACCTCTGAGATCTATGTTTTGCTGGCCGGACCTTGAGAACCATCGAAAGTTCGCCGAAGAGCATGCCCAAACTACGGTTGGACATCTGAAACCCTTGAAAATTTGGTCTATGATAGAATTCGGATATGACGAGGGGGTCCTCCGCTACGAAAAACTCGAGGCGATGAGCGAGCAGCCCGAAGGATGGTCCTCTGATACGGAAAATGAGTTTTTATCTGATCTTTTAATTGAGGATGAGTACGAAAGCGAGGGGATAGATGATGCAACAATCGACAGCGATGACGGTTCAAATGAGGATGACGATTTAGTCTTACAATCTAGCTCCGACGAAGATAATTTATCTACCTTTAACGGATTTTCTCCTATTCAGGATGAGAACTCTGAACTTCATTTGGACGGCGAAATAGAAGTCGGCAATTTCTCTAGCCTTGAGCCCGAGTCTCCCAATCATTATGATAATGATTCAGAGCAGGATGGTTCTGACGAGGAGCCCGTTCAGAAGACCATTCGACGTAAACGTCGCATTGTGTCTTCGGACGATGAAGATGATTCTAATGATGAGCGCGAAGAAGTTAAAATGCCGTCGCGACCTGCTAAGCGAAGCCGCGTTGTCCTTTCCGACACCGAAGACGAGGACGATGAGGATGGAGGCGAAGATACGAATCAAGGCCGCGATATTGTATACAAATCGGAGGAGCCTTCTGAGCCCGAGGATGAGGACGAGGAACCTGTGAAGCCGAAGTCGATGTCTTTGTTTGAGAAATTGAGGCAGTATCGCCAAGAAAACCCTATCCCTCCGGACTCAGATGCCAGCTCGGATATTGAAGCATCGATAGGCAGTGAAGGTTTAGATGCAGGCAACAATATCAACTTCATAGACGATGAGATAGAAGATGAAGATGAGTTATTGGAGAACGGTGGAATAGTGGCGAATATGTCTGAAGAGCATTCCGAGGGCGATGAAGATGATGAAGATGGATGGTGATGGGTTAACTCTGTGTCATAGAGTGGTACGGGGTATAAAGATGCCGGTTGCCATCTTAGAATGCGACAGGGATGGGCTTTAGAGTGGTGTTAATTCTACTTGACTATAATTCGGACTTATCTAGGCCCTCGTTAGTGGGTCTCTTGCATTCGTAAGAATAGCATGTACGTTGTATGGAGTCTCGGATGGTTTAACAGGTCTGGGAGCATAAGCGTTCTGGATTTGCGTTGAAATCGGTTACTATTTAGGCAAGTCAAGTATTAGCGCTTGTTAGTTGATGGCAATAATTTAATCTCCAGGCTTGGAGTATGCGTTGAATATAAGATATAACAATGCAAATTATTATGGACTGCATATTGTCTGAGATCTTAAGAATGCGCTGAGGTAGGGGACACTGGGTATACTACCCCTGAACTTTACGCTCAGTGCTTCATTATATAAACCCTGTCTGACTTCTAGTCTTGGTAGCCTTTATATGAAGACTGCTGTACTCCTGCTCTAAAATAACCCAAAGATATGTACGTATGTCCAGACCCTCGACGTCTCACAGTTACCAAGCATAGGAATTTTCTACCATGAGGGAAGCCATGATAAGTTCTATTCCACCTTACTCCCCCCACTCCGCGGCCTCCCGTCATCATTGACAGGTTGGCCCTCTATCACCACTGTTCCACCCCTATCCCTATTCCTACCATCTCCGCCTTTTCGGCGATCAAGCAACAGCCACAGGCCAAAGACAATTGCGGTGGAGGGCAGCGTAAACGCCCAGTAAACCCAAAACCCGGGATTTTGGACGATGCCGGCAACGGATTCGGCATGCCAGTCTAGCGACGGCAGAGCGAAAAGCGCTGCGAAGAATGTCGCGGGCAGAAACGCCATCGTCATTATCGCTACAGTTCGCATGCTCGAGCTGTCGTGCCGTGTCGCCTCTGCGATCCGCCGGCTTGCGTCTGCTAGGTCTGCGTGCGTCGCGGAGTCTTCGTGCGTTAGGAGTGCGAAGAGCTTTTGTGGCTGTTGTTAGCTGTGGTTTTTTCTTTGTCCATGGATATATATATTTGCTCTATGTCTTAGGTGTAATAGAAGATGAGTTGAGGAAAGGTAAGTTAAGGTGGTAAGGATAAGAATAGCTGTTTTGGAAGAGTCTTACCACCGTTGATAGGCGCTCGGCGCGCTCCTTGAGATACTTGAGATATTCCTGCGAGGCGTGCATACGCCTCCTCAACAGGGGTATCGCCGCGATCAAGCGGCGTGTGTTTTCGTCTTCGACCGCAGTTCCGTATCCAGCGTCTGGAAGTAGCACGCTGTCAAGCACAAAGTCGAGGACAACGTCCACGAGGCGGAAATGCCGCTCGTTGTTGGCGATATGGTTTAGCACCTCACCGACGTCCTTGATATAGACTGTAATTGACTCCATTCCCAGGCGCTCCTCGATCCCACTCGAGTGCCGACTATAGCCTGTCTCACGCTCCGTGAGCCGTACCATGTGTGCGCGGTATGAGATTTCGCCGTCGAACATGCAGCACACACTTAGAGCCGTTACGTATGCTAGTAGGAACGGCGAGCGTAGGTGTTCCTGGTGCCGCCGCAGCACGTTGACGAACCAGGCCGCGGGTGCGCTACTACTAAAGCTATGCTGTTGCCGTAAGATCCATAGAGCGTGTGTCTGTAGGGTCCGTTGGTTAAACGTCCATACCAATACAAAGTTAGATGTTCCGACATAGTACGTGTCGACATCTGCCGTCGCCCCCTCTTTTCCCCGACCCTCGTCATAATCTACGGAGGAATAGGGAAAGTAATGAAAGCCGTCATACTCGCTGCGCAGGAGCCACAGTGCCGCCGGGCTCATATGCATCGCATCAACGAGCCCTAGGAAGATATCCTTGGTCACCCATAGCGAAGGAAAGGGGGTGGACCATGACTCCAGCCGGCTATCGATTACGACTAGCTTGAGTGAGGCAGGCGGCGGCGTAGTTGTTGCACTCTTGTGGGAGTCGCCACTAATAGGTCGTTCTCTAAAGAACTTGGGTAAGTGGCCAAGCTTCAAATCCTTCTCAATGTATGTCGTCGGCCCCGGGGGAGAGGAATACACGGCGATAGCACGGAGCTTGGGATCGGGACCGAGCGCCGTGTCGCCATACCGCTGGAAGACCTCAAAGTTCTCACGGGCCAGTTGAGCAAACTCTTCCATACTGATAGCACGGGAGACCCGGAGACTTCACCAGTATTATATCATAGTTCAGGTAAACACAAACACAACGTTAATATGGATGCCTTTTTCTTAGTTGTTACTACCTTAATAGATTATAGTGAAAATGAAGCACAAGAGCAATTGAGATATTAGCTATCAGTCACTAGATCGGTTACCTACCTCACCAGTGATCCTGTCTTCGGAAGGATGAATAGCGGGGGCTGAAACGGTGTAACTCAGCCGCGATGTCTCCTCCCGACCCCAGCACATCTCCACCTTCATCCTCTTATAACATGGTAGCATTGTACTCAATAGTGTTAAGGTCCGGTGAGGGAACCGAAACTGAGGGGGGTTTTACATAGTACATTTCTAAAAAATGTGCTGAAAAGAAATAGTTATAGGGACAGAATAGTGGTAATGGATGTTTAGCGATATAGAACATGTCGGCTAAGTAAACGTAGGAAAAAAAAAAAAAAAAGGAAAAGGAAAATCTAAAAAAAGAACAAGTCATTTACATTATATGGATGTAGAAAAATAGAAAAATAAATGCATCAGCCGCGAATCGAACGCGGGGCCCATCGATGGCAACGATGGATTTTACCACTAAACCACTGATGCTTAGATGTTAAATATGCGGGATTTTTCAATACTTGTAGCAATGTCACTAACTGTCCTATGTCGTTACAAACAAGCGGGAATAACTTCTAGCGCGTATCTCTCACCAAGTCATCTTAGTATCTAATCTGACCTAAGTGCTTTTCATCTTGCTATAAATTGAGTACTATAAGTTTCTAAATAAGCCTACCTCTCTTTGCTTCAACCTTTCCTTTCCTTTCCTCTAGGAACCCTTCACATCAATACCAACTTTCCAAATCCGCCGACCTTTCTCGTCGCGTCCCAAGTCCTGAAGATCCCCGCTGTTTTCCGATTTAACAGGGCGTTCTTCGCCAACGGGCAACACCAAAGTGACGCCGTTTTTAATCCATAACGGCTCGAATTGATTATGTTTTTGCAGTTCTACTTTTACGCGGATCTCATCGCTTGATACGCCGTAGGAAATACTAATCTCGCAGAGCGTTGGCTTTTCCACGGGACTTACACCATTGTCCTCGAGCCATGTGTTGTGGAACCATTTCGTCTCCGCAAACGTGTTAACGGGCGTTGAAAGCTCGTTACCTTTAGGCCAGTGAGGGTATTGAGCTACTGGTGGAGGGAATATCTCAACCGCTCGGTAATCATCCTTTTCCATACCTGGGAATTCCGGGTCCTCATTGGCGACACATGTAGTCGGCCTAGGTTTTCCTATCGGGATAGTAGATCCGATGCGCGCAAGCACGGGGATTGAGCTATGCCAAGTCGAAGAAATCTCGTGCCACCTGCCGGCTTCGAGGTATTGATACGGCGCCGAAAGGTTCAAGAATCCTAGGTCGTTCCCGCTTTGATCTGGGAGGTAGACCTTTGCGCTTGAAACTCCGGGTTCATAGACGCCTGCGATGAGCAGAGCATCTCCGAACCAGTATTGAGAGTCCCCTTTGAGTAGCTCCTTAGTCCAAACTATGGGATCAGACTCATAACCCCAGCCGGTCCATCGCTGGGGCGGAATTGCCTCCCGATGGGACTTTAGCATGAGAGAGTACGTATACGGCACCAATTCGTATCTGCGCTGTATCGCGTCTCGAATAATTGGCGCTACAGATGGATATTGCCACGGCTCAATGACCTCGCCTACCAAGTTATCGTCGGGATTGGTCTTGTAGCAGTTGATAGTGAACCGTGGTGAGTGGATGCCAAGCTGTATCCAACGAACGAGATGCTCTGGCGTTGGCTGAGGGCCTTCGAAGCCGCCAATGTCATGGCCATAACACTATATAAATGAGACGCAGAACTTTTAGGTATGATGAAGCTAATATGATGCTTACCTGAAGTAGAGAGAAACCTGCGTTTAACGCCAACGCATTTGCACCTTTCATCCCTTCCCAGCTTGTTACGTTATCGCCGCTCCACGAACTGGCGCAATATCGCATGGTGCCCGCTGTTGCACTACGAGTGAGAACAAATGGACGGACCTCAGGTTCGGCCTCAATCGTCGCATCATGAGAACTTTTTCCTACGAGCTCGGTATGTAGTGCTCTACCCCAGAGTCCAACATCTTTCCGAGATTCACCGGGTGGTACGGTGACAGTCTCAAGAGCGCATTGCCAATCGTCGTTAGGGAGATTGTATTCGTTATTATCATTCCACATCGCATCGATCCCAACCTCCTTAAGGGCCTTCACTCCATTATACCACCAGTTGTATCCCGCCTTAGAAGTGAAGTCAAGATGACTACCTTCTCCGCTCTCTCCTCCCCCGGCGCTCCAAAGTCGCGTGACTGCAGTAGTTGAAGTATTCAGGTCCTTGAAGAAAGCACCGGACTGCGAAAGTTCTGCATACGCCGGATGATTTGCGAGGACATACGGCTTAACATTCGCTAGAAGACGAACACCATGCTTGTGGCACTCGCGTGTGAATTCCCGCGGATCCGGGAAACGGTGATGGTTCCAAGTGAAAACATTCCTGGTCTTAGGCTCGGTTTCGGCTACCGTATATCCCGAGCTCATCTGGAACGCCGAGCACGGCATACCATGTTTTTCACAGTTCTTGAAAAAATTGAGGATCGAATCACAACCGCGCGGAGAGTCTTCCATGCTATATTTCATGCCGCCACCGATGTAGCCCATCATGTACCGAGGTACAAGCAATGGAAAACCTACCAATTCTGCATAAGATCGAACAATGTCCGCCACTGTCCTCCCAACGATGAGGTATTCTTCAAGTCCACCATGGGCCTGCCGGTAGACCTTGTAATGACCCCACATTCCATCTAATTCGGATCCAACAGCCCAAGTCGCTCGGGAGTGAGAAGTCGAGAAGATGCCCACGCAGCCATTAGGAGTGACGTTGATCAGTAGAGGGATGTGCTTGTACAAGGGGTCCGTCCGGTAAGCATCGTATCCAAATGTATCACTTGCTGTTATATTAAACCCCCGACCACTGAGATTCATTGGTGCGGCCTTCTCTCCGAGTCCAACATGTAGACTATCCGACTTGTAAGTCGTGTAATGAGCAATGCCGGAGCCATCCACAGCGTATGATCGGAAGTCTAGGTCACGGTGGATCGGCTTCTGCTGGTCATCCAGGAAGAGGGAGACAACTGGCGTGTTTGACCAATTAACATCAACTTTGATGTATCCAAGCTTTATAGTATGAGAACTTTTATCCGCATTAGCACTGATCTCGGGAGTAACATTTCCAAGGGTAGGCTCCGGACGCTCTGCGCTGGGATGTGGTGGCAATAAGTGTTGAGCGGTTGTGAAAGTGGTGCGAAACACATTTGGACGCAGCGCTTCGAATCTGAAATGACATGTTTCGTGGTTGCTTTTGCCATCAGAGATGAGTGTTAGGGATGGGATCTTCTCCGAGCTAGTCTCGTGTGAAGTGTCCAACACATAGTTGGTTGGTATATATTCATACTGCTTATACATATTTGGGTGTTATACGTAATAGAGGATAAGCAAGTAATGGGAAAAGGATATCCGAGAACTTTATTTTCGGGAAGCGTTATGACTTCTAATAAGAGCCACCTACAATGGAATTTAGGCGGAGGGTCTGACATAAAATAGAGTATTAAATATGTTCATCACAAGTCACTACTAGAATTCCGAATAGATATATGTAGCACCATATTGATAACTCAAGTATTGTAGCTACGAAGACTAAGTTGAGATTACATAAAAACCTCCGATGAAGGTTCTACAGAGAACCCCTTGCGGAGCGGGGGATGGGGATGATCCCGCACAATGGACCGATTTTGGAGCGCTATCCAATAACTTCGTTGAAAACATAAGGACTATAAGTTGGAGAAGACATTGCGAGGTCTGAAAACCAGACCATTATTCCACATGACTATGTCTAATGCATATGTTTATGTCTATTACTCCGCAAAAAACATCTATGCGGGGCTCCGATCATCCAGGTTATTTAAGCACGGCATTTCACGACGGCGGGAGTATCTTGGCTCTTTAAAGTCGCCGCATCCGTGATTGGTGCTATTTGGAAGTTGTCACGTAGCCGGGTTAACCAATCACAGTCGAGAATTGACCAGGTTGGCCTTCCTCGGACAGAGATAGGCCGGCGGTATCGGTTAAGCTTGGCATATATTAGGAATAGAACATGCACATATTGTAACATAATGTACCATAACAGGTATAGACTAAGAGAAGTTTAGAACGAGGTTATCTTATCTGATCTGATTGATTGTCTGGTATCATAGGAACGGGGGGACAAAGACGTGTAATTATGAGAAAGTAGAGTTACCCCAGGACACCCATTCAACTAACGAATATAACTTCTATTTAATAACGTGTTGAGACTGAGGTCTTTTGTCTCGTGCCATTATAAGCAGTCCTCTAAACTCTAAAATGCTAATACATTGCATTGTGGTGGTTCTAGTTTGACATCAAAACTTCTTATTGTGTTTTAACTCGCACATCTCTATCCCCCTCCTCATTAATACTACTCATTAACGTTTTCTTCACCATTTTCCGATCTTTTAGGCTAGGTATAGTGATAGGAGTCCATTCGTATTATCAATTACATCAAATCTCGCGCCTTTCTCGAGGAGTGTCTCTGCTGTATGGAGTCGTATTGAGTAAATTTCACTCGAAGCAGACTGGCGACCAACTTATCAGCTCTCAGAAATTAAAGCGTATCGTCCTTGAAAAATTCAAACTCATCGCGCACATGCTCCACCTGGCCCTAGATACTATCACCCTCTCGCTGAAGTAGAGATCTACAATAAATCAAAATAAAGGACTATCCCTTTTATATTTAGTGACATTGGAACTGTTAAATGTAGGGTTAGGTTGATTTTTGAAGTTCTTTTAATTACAAGTACTTAAATATTTCTCTCAGGTATTCGCGGAATCAATAAATTCATTTGTATGAAGTAACTATACTAAAGCACCTAACACCCCTAAAATTAATTCTTACAATGGCCTTACAACTATACTGTCTAGTTAAATTACGCAAGTCGTAGCGCGAGGTTAATATACTAATGCTCTCGTAACGTCGTACTTAGTTCTTCTTTACCTCATCATCAACTATGCTATCCCAATATCCAGCAGTGCCCTTGTCAGAGTCGTCTTGTAAACTTGACGTGGCAGAATCGTCAGACTCCTTACTTTTTACCGAGCCTAAATCGATAGACTTTTGCCTACCACTTACATTTTTTATTGGCATAGCCGTTGCTGTGGAGATACCAATCACCATGGGACTCCTAAGTCCCTCATGGTGCTCGTCATCGTCCACACTGCCAACAACAAACACCTGGTCGTCGTTCTCCCCATCATGGTAGACAGGTAACCTCCTTTTACTAGGGTAGGTTGAACTTGGAGGAACGATAAAATGGTCTGAAGATCCCATCTCCGAAGCCCAATGCGTATCTCTCCAATCGCGAAGCTCTTGTTCCCAAATTTCAGGTGTGGGCCGTGTAGGAGCAGTTATGGATTGGTTAATGACTTCAGTAGATTCACTAGAAGGAATGTTCCGTTGCGTGTTCCCCCAACGACTCTTCCGGCGACATAACTCGAGCGCCGGGATAGCTAAAAGAAACACAAATACGATAGCTCCAACAACAATATATGTGATGAGATTTTTATGATATAGATCATCTCGTCGAGATAGCTGAAAAGATCCGTGGTCGAATATACCGACCAGTGTAGTTGCTATTCCTTCTTGGATGGTAAGCCATCTTGGAGTAACGGATGTATTATTATTGTGTGAGTGAAACATGGTGTAAGGTGCCATGCTTGCATATTATTACCAAAATAGCGAACGACTTTAAAGAGAAAACACTGGAGAAATACTTTCTTTTCTCACGAACCGAGCTCAATCTACCTTATATCATACGTCATGGATAATCCTATTGTTTTGAAACGACAATTAGGACCAAATGAGCCATCACAATGCTCTTATTGATATAGTTAAAGAACAATATCATTCTTTATCTTACTAGAAAGAATAAACATAATTGCATTCAATAACACCCTAGTCATACTTATTCTCGAACGTCATTCTTTGTGTGAAAGATACCTAGATACCTGTCTACTCAATCATAATCGCCCGTGGCGTCTAATGTTAAAATTTAGAATATAGGAACAAGCTACCTACCTGAATTAGTTGATAAGTGAAGTTTTGGGCCGATCTAAACTAGAGGTAGTATGTTGATTAGCACTGCCACTTCATGGGACCTAGCCTGATGACTAGCCTGGGTATTTTCAATCCGGGTGAGTCACCCCGAAATCGCTACGGCGTAGTTAATGATTTTTATATGAAGTTTCATATAAAATTACACCCTAATATCTATCGAAAACGAAAATAAAAAAATAAAAAAACCACATACTAGGGCATAGCACCTTAACTCAACAACAAACATGGAGGGACCATGGGCTCAAGTGGAAACCACGCTTCCACATATACCACTTCTACCAATTTCTCAGCGCCAGTCAATCCGAACAGAGCGACTATTGATTCGACCAATGCAGGAGGATGACCTTCAGGCTTACCACGAGTTGCGCTTACAGCCAGAAGCAATGGCCTGTAGTAGGCAAGGGAGACCTGACCACGACATTGAAGAGACTCGATCAGCGCTGAACCAATTTTTACCGCCATATAGCGACAAAACATTCTTGTACGGCGTCTTTCTTCCGTCTACGGGCGAATTAATCGGCGAGGGAGGTGTTCATACACTAGAGTCTTCATCTTGTGGTTGGCCCGAGATTGGGTACAGATTCAAGAAAGAGGTTTGGGGCCGGGGGTACGCGACCGAGTTCCTAAGGGCGTTTCTTAAGATCTGGTGGGATTTGCCTAGGAACCGCACTAAACTTCGGGTTCATTCGTCATCTATTCAGAAGGGAAACAATTTGGATGCTGTAGAACAGATCCATGCCAACACAGACTGGGACAATATAGGAAGTCAGAAGGTTTTGGCAAAACTTGGGTTTATACAGTTTTCGAAGTACATGGATGTTTACACACAAGAGGATAAGCTGGGCGAGCCACTGGAATTATTTTGTCACAGGCTTCCTTTTCCGGAAGACAATAGCGGAAGTTGAGGATGATATTTATCGTATATAAGAGGATATGTGCTAGGAGACAAGAACTAGGACCAGTCAGGTGGCATAGTTGGAGTTCTAGGATCAAGCTTATCACTGGCTAGCGACTGAATAATATATATAGGATACTATTTTGCCCCTAGTGTTGGATATAAAATATACCTTATGGACTGCTATATACCGACTTAGTATATATATATGCCGTAGCATCTGATATAATGTCGTATTGTTCTTGGGCGGGGTCCACCCAATACCAAGTTCGGGATATATTATCTCGCTGCTAGAGGAACATACTGCATGTCTAAGATAGGAGTTAAAGCGGAACAAGCTTGTATGTATATTTCCACATATAATACGGCTTATACTAAATTTCCATGCATCTTAAATACTCCTTTCATAAAATCTTCTAACCCTAGACACATAGCTGACCACCCTACCTCACGCTCTCTCGGTTCAAAATGCTTAGAGCGATAGAACGTATTATAACTCCCAACCACCCAACTAGATCACCAGATTCTACGTCGCCACTTTCACCTAGACCAGACTCAGGACTTAGCGGAGTAAGTAGGTCCGGTACATTCGGACCACCGCCGTCTCTCACATCACGAAGTCGCGTACGGGATTGGTTTAGAAAAAAGCCAGCACCCGCATGTAATCGACCTACTTTGTCCAATTTGGAACCTGCTTCAGAGACTTTGTACCATAATCAAGGCTCGGGTTTCTATCCACCATTATCGCCTACTACGCCCGACCTAAATTCACCCTTTGATTCGCACCTAGCCAAGAGGGAGGAGAATATAGAGAAGCCGAACGATCAAGAAGCTACATCAGTATTATCTTCTGATAAAGATAACTACGGCAATCTGGAACCACGTCGAAAGTCAACTCGGCCAACACCGGCCCGAGAGGCTCGAGAGAAACGAGTTCAACGCGTCTTTGATATAATAAAACAATTAAAGAACGAGGAGTATACAACTGAGGATATTCTCATCGTAGAAGAATTGACAGAATCAGCGTTTAAAGACTTGCGTGATAAAATACAAAGGGAAGATGATGATGAACTGAAACATTACTTCGAGAGCGATTTGTGGTGAGTGGATCTTGAGAGTCCCGTTTCGTCCCCTTGTGACAATCTAGGTAGCTACGATTATCCCTATCGAAGTGAACAAAAAGACCATATTGTCTTTCGCATGCCTTCAAAGCTCCATGATCATGTATCTAGGCGAATTTTCATGAAATTGGCAAATCAGTTAGAATCGCTTTCGGACAGGGACACAAACTCAGAGGGGCTCAGCCAGATCCTGAGCAAACCATTTTACATGACAGGATCGGCGAGAATTACCTTTGGGGAGGGGCCTCATGGGAAAAGTCCAGATGAGAGTTTTCAGTATCCTGACTGCACATATCCGGGACTGGTCATAGAAGTGTCCTGGTCGCAAAGGCCGAAGGAGTTGCCAAAGCGGGCAAAGGATTTTATCACTAAAAGTAAAGGTGAAGTGAGAACTGTCATTTCTATAGATATAAATGATAGTTATGAGAAGCGGCAAAGTGGAATGCCTGGAGAGGCCAAATTTTCGATATGGAGGGCAGATTGGGTCTCGGGTAACAAAGTAGTACCTAGGATGAGTGTAGATAACCAGGTACGTTGCCGACTATCAGGTCTGGCTCCAATATCGATTCCGTTCATTCTAAAATAGAAGCAGGTGTTCCAAGACCAAAACGGAAAGTTTAACCCTTCTGCTTCCGGTTTGCACCTCACGTTCGAAGATTTCCTCTGCAGAAATGTAGCGAACATGTTAGGCCCTGACAACCCACGTCTTATAGTTGAAGCTAATGAGCTATACCGATGGGTTCAGCAAGGACTAGCCGCCTTAAATATCCCACCTCCTGGACTATCAGCGGAACAGAATAACGCCTCGGAGCAGCAAGTTTTACCCGCGTCACCTCCGGATTCCCACGCGGGCGGTGGGGAAATGTCGCAAAACCAGACATCAAACCTTGGCCAACCGGTAGGTCCACGTCCCCAAAACAATTCACCACAAGGTCAAGCGCCGCTTGAGACTCAAGTGGAAAGACCGCCACGAAGAGCTCGTTTAATTGGAGCTCATAAGATTTCGGCCTACTTCCGGAGGCAGCATAGGTGAATACTTGGGATAGACGTTACAGCACGGATACAGAGAGATGGTGTTGTCGGCTTGATGATGAACGTATCTAAGAGGTGATTAAGATATTGAAGTATATCTAAATGGTATGTGAGAAGATATTGTCAGAATACGACTGATCTCGACTGGTGTTGAAGCGCGAGCTAGCAGAGGCGTACACGAGTAACAAGCGGATAAAAAAGACCATCAAAATATACGAGCTCGACATAACAGTCAAACGACGATTACGATCGATTAATGAATGCCGTTACGCTTTAGTACCTAAGTTATGAGTATAAGAAATTCATATTAATTGCTAGATATTTTATTTTTACGCTGTTTTCTTTTGAAAATAATTTGAGTTAATATGAGTAAAGTGTAAAGCGATTGAAGTAAAGCTTTTAAATATTTACGTATTCATCTCCTAGCAATGCTCTTACGTAATTCTCTCAGTAGAGGTACCTTACATACTAGTGTAAAGTATGAGATACATAAATCCTACATGCGCTAACCTTCCTAGGCAATTACCTTGATGGAAAGGGAGCTTCGGTCCGGGGTAGTCGCGCAATGCTTGCGGGATCTGACGTCGAGAGCCCCTCCATCAATCGCAAAAATACTGATGCTCCCTTACTGCCTCATTTAAAGTTACATCTTACAAGTTACAACTACCTCCTAACTAATCCTTTATATCTTGAACAATACCTATCAACACGCTAATACCGACACTTCTGTCCGATACATCCGAAACTACCTAACCTACATATATTTCTAATTAATCGATTAAATCCCTCCTAAGGTACATCTATGTAAGACCTATTACTTACATAGGTACCTGTTAACCTGAATTCGTCGATCCGACTTCCAACTTTTCCAATATAACTTCTTAAAGCCTTTCGACACCATCAAGTAGTTTTACTAGTCTACCACCCGACTCTCCTCAATATTCCTCCGTATACGCACGGCCCACGATGTTCAATGTTCTATATCCGTAGTCATGGTTGTCAGAATGGTCCTCCGGGCTACTGCCCCTTGTCCGGGCTGCCTCGGCTTGAATAGACCACAATTAAGCCCATGGCTTTCACCATCGCGTAGTGGCACGCGCATCTTTGCGACGTCGCAAAACCCTCTACAAAAACCTCATATTCTAAGTTTAACCTCGAAAACACAACTGGGTATAGCCAGATTCAGTTCCAATGCCGCCAATAAACCCGCCACTACGCAGAAAGATCCTCTCGCCACTATCGACAAAAGCGCTCAGGAGCAACGGAAAGCGGATTGGGCAATAATGAAAGAGATGGCACATTACCTATGGCCAAAGGATAGCTTCAATACTAAATTACGCGTGTCATTGGCTGTTGTACTTCTCGTTGGGGCCAAGGTATTGAATGTCCAAGTACCCTTCTACTTCAAGAGCATTGTGGATGCTATGAATATTGATGTGGGAGATATGGGTGGTACCGCCGCTATGGTAGCTGGAAGCATGATAGTAGCATACGGCGCAACGAGGATAGGGGCAACCATCTTCCAAGAGCTACGAAATGCCGTGTTTGCTTCGGTAGCACAGAAGGCTATACGGAAAGTTGCTTGCAATGTCTTTGATCACCTACTGCGCCTAGACCTGAACTTTCATCTCACCAAGCAGACTGGTGGTTTAACAAGGGCTATCGATCGAGGTACCAAAGGCATCAGTTTCCTACTTACTAGTATGGTATTCCACATCTTCCCCACGGCTTTGGAGATAGGCATGGTATGCGGAATCCTTACTTGGCAATATGGTGCGAAATATGCTGCCATCACGGCTATCACGATGACCGCGTATACTGCATTTACTATTTGGACCACCTCCTGGCGAACTAAGTTCCGAAGGCAGGCCAACGCCGCAGATAATAAGGCCTCGACAGTAGCTGTCGACTCGTTAATAAACTACGAGGCAGTCAAGTATTTCAACAACGAAAAATTCGAAGTTTCTCGGTACGATAAGGCGCTTCAGGAATATGAAAAGAGTTCTATCAAGGTTGCGACTTCGTTGGCTTTGCTCAACAGCGGCCAGAACATTATTTTCTCGAGTGCCCTAACAGCCATGATGTACCTTGCCGCCAACGGCGTGGCAAGCGGCTCCCTGACAGTGGGCGACTTGGTTATGGTCAACCAACTTGTCTTTCAGCTTTCCGTCCCGTTGAACTTTCTAGGTTCGGTTTACCGAGAGCTCAGGCAATCCCTTCTTGACATGGAGACTCTCTTCAACTTACAAAAAGTGAATGTTACTATTAAGGAACTTCCTGATGCGAAGGCGCTTCATCTTTCTAAAGGAGGCGAGATCAAGTTCCAGAATGTGAACTTCGGCTACAATGCAGAGCGCCCCATTCTCCGAGATCTAACAATGACAATTCCCGCCGGTAAGAAGGTCGCTATCGTAGGTCCAAGTGGATGTGGAAAGTCTACATTATTAAGGCTCCTTTTCCGATATTATGATGTTGAGAATGGTCGTATTCTCATCGATGATCAAGACATTCGTCACGTTACGCTAGAGTCGCTGCGCAAATCGATTGGCGTTGTCCCGCAAGACACTCCGCTTTTCAATGATACTGTTGCACACAACATCAAATATGGTGATCTGTCGGCGCCCGAAGACCGAGTGATCGCAGCCACCAAACGTGCTCGAATTCATGACATTATTTCTAGCTGGCCTGCGGGATACCACACCAAAGTTGGCGAGAGGGGTATGATGATCAGCGGAGGAGAGAAGCAACGTCTTGCGGTCTCCAGATTACTGCTGAAGGACCCTCCTCTGCTATTCTTTGATGAGGCGACGAGCGCACTGGATACGCATACGGAGCAGGCACTCATGCAAAACATTAATAGCATCCTCCGAGAAAAGGCGCGGACGAGCGTGTTCGTAGCCCATCGATTACGAACTATATACGACGCCGACTTGATCATCGTATTAAGGGAAGGCAGAGTGGCCGAACAAGGGACGCATAAAGAGCTCATTGACCGAGGTGGGCTATACTCGGAGCTCTGGAGCGGTAAGTAACCCTAGAAAGGGACACCTGTAACTTCAGATTCTAACTTAAGGCTTGCAGCTCAAGAAACTCTGTTCAACTCTGATGGGGAGAAAGAAGGAGTGGCTAGCGAAAAAAGTAAATGAAAGGAGATTCAGCTTTCAGAAGCCTCGGTCAGGATGAACATTTTGGGTGTTTGCTGATCTCGGGTAGAATAGAGCTGAACAGGCATCTTTTTAGGGATGGTGCCTGATTGAAACAATCGTTCTTGGGAATCCTGCGAGCTATGGTAGGGCATAGTAACGCGAGTGTGTTGTATAACATGAACAATTATAGCAGGAGCATCGTAATCTATGAAGAATACGATGACTATATTTCCAGTAGGGGGATGGTCAGCAGTGTCTGTTGAATCAACTCCAGTGTGAGCTTAGTAGCTATCATGACTACCTCTCTTCAAAAGCACCATCACTTTGCTAGACCTAAAACCTCTAGTTTAGATCAAAGCTTCAATCTCATTAGTATATTAGAGTGCGATCCCCGTAGGTTAGTGTGACATGAGCGTCTGTTGTTGGCTGTCAAGGAGTAGATTTGGCATAGCACTGTTGCCTGACAATGAACAGAGGATTTATTATACTACCTTTCAGCAACCTTTTTAGAACAACCGTAAACTCCATTTCCCACTGGAACTCGAAACATTATTTTCGATAATGGTAATAGCTCAAACCTATAAGCACCAACATTTAGGGATGCGGCTGATCATAGTGTTAGTGTTCATATTTTCACATACCTAGGATATAATAGACCGAGCGCATTTTATAACCGCGGTATGAAGGAATAGTATTGCTTAATTTTATACGAGGTAGGTAGGTAGGTACCTAGAGGCTTATTTACGAGGGTTAGAGAAGCCGAGAGGAATATATCTAAGGGGGTTCTATATTCTTTCTGAGTGAGAACCTACCTACTAGTATACCAGTTGGGTTTATTTAAACACTCACGATCAATATGAAAATTAAAACTAGCATCGAGGAGGATTGATTAACCTCATTGGTGGTTTCAATAGAGGCCGCATCTCAAGCAAGTCTATCAAAGCCACCTCTCGTCTACCTCTTGAATATATCCTATCCTATAGCGCTATGGGATGTTATCTCAACGTATTGACCCCATGGTCGTTTCCACTAGGCCTACCTATATAGCACGAACGCACAAAGCGCAGAGGGTTACATCACGGCTACGAGGCCCCTTCTCTGCCCTTAGTCTAGTGGCTGCGAAGACAGTGCTCCAGGCCTGGCAGATCTTGGCTCAGATAACCTTCCTATTCCGGTCTCCTTATACGCAGAAAATGTCCGACCGATCATCGAGCGTAGTTGTCCTTAGACATCGGTTAGGTACCTAATGTATTATTGCCCGAGTATAGGTTTGGAATAAATCTGTGTCTAAACTCTAACAAGACTGGTGCACGTTAGACGCAACTGTATCTGAAGGGTACCCAGCGTAGACTATATATATATGGTCTATATTATGCGAGTAATGCCTCTTGACCTTTATTTCCCCTTTCCCATTCTATCTCATGTCATCTTAAACTCGTCTATTTCACGAGATTTAAAATACACGATGTCTAACCTCAAGATGTTTTCTTGGCTTTACTTAGCCATCTCTGCAAGCATCTTCTCCGTAGCTCTCGGTCACAACGGGAGGAGGGACGATGATACTCCATCCGTAGACCTAGGATACGAAGTTCGTCAGGGATCGGTAAATGTGCGTTATCCACCCCTTTCTAGGTGGCCAGTTAAATCACTTCAACGTCGAGATGATCGCCTGTATTTACTGCTTGGGGGGGAGAAGAGCTCGGGAACTCTGCTGGAGGGTACTAACAGGTTGACATAGGAAACTGGCAACTACTATGTCTTCAACAATATTGCGTACGCGCAGCAACCAGTCGGCGACCTGCGCTTCAAAGAGCCCGTTGCTATCGTCGAAACCGAAGGAGCACCGGGCCACGAACATGGCAACGATGAGATTGTCATGTGCCCGCAGGCTTACCCGCAATGGGTTATCAACCTCCTAGCACAACGCAGCGGAATCGACAGGAAGACAATGGCGTCTATGCTCAACGACCAACCCGGCCAGACGGAGTCGTGTCTAGTGCTCGACGTCTACGTGCCCGCGCATATCTTCGACGAGGGCCCTACTGCGAATGGTGAGTCGCATTGTGATTCTGCTAGCATGGCTTATCATACGTCTCTTAGATACACGAATACCTAATAACCATGAACTTTGTAGCGTCTGTCCTCGTGTGGATGCACGGCGGCGGCTTCACATTCGGGTCTAAGAATCTATACGGCAACCCAGCCGGCCTGATCGCCAGATCTCTAGAAAATGATCAAAAAGGAACCATCATAGTCTCAATCAATTACCGATTGGGTATGTATGGCTGGCTATCTGGTGAGGATGTCACGGCAAACCTCGGACTTTATGACCAGCGGCTTGCTCTAGATTGGATTAACAACTATATCGTCTTATTCGGAGGCGGCCTGAATAGAATGACGGTTATGGGTGAGAGCGCAGGGGCTGCGAGTATTGTCCACCACCTCACAGCGTTCAACGCGACGGGAACTGCCCCGTTTACGAAGGCGATTATCCTGTCTCCTGCATTCCAACATAACATCGATTTGGATGGCAATTATCTTAAAACGTTGAACGAGGCTACCAAACTAGCCGGACGCGACATCTACAATGTAAAACAGCTGCGTGGGTTACCAGCTGATCTGCTACAGTATATTAACCAACAAACTGTCACCTCGGCACCCGTGGGTACATTTGGCTTCGGCCCCGGGCCCGACAACTCGCTTGTGGCGGATATACCGCAGAAGCTACTTTACCAAGAAAAATTCGACTCTACCGTTGACGTGAGTGATTTCCTCTCGTCAAATAGAACCAAATATTCAGTAAAGTACTGCTAACATCGCAAACTAGCTATTCATAAGCCATACATCCCATGAATCTGTACCCTTCCTGCCGGGCGGCATAAAAACCGCGGCTGACGTGAAGGCATACGTACGAAAGAGCCTGCCGGCGGCCTCGAACACGACCATCAACATGCTGCTTACGGATCGGGGGCTGTACCCGGATGTGCTAGGCGGCAAGTACCCATGGAAAACACAGGCTGGGCGATTAGAGCGTCTAGTCTCCGACATCAGCTTCGCGTGCACGACGCAGTACCTATCGAGAGCGCGGGGCAACGATACGTTCAATCTTGTCTTCACGCACCCGCCCGGCTGGCATGCCGACGACGTGCCGTACGTATTCTTCAACGGCGACACGAGCACGCCGGATAACAAGTCCCCCGTCAGTGGACGCTTAGCAACGCAGCTGCAAGATTATATTATCGCATTTGCTCAAACCGGAGACCCGAACGAGGCTGGTGGACCGCACTTCCCGACGTACGGAAAGAATTCGACGATATTAGAACTGGGGTATAAGAAGTTTAGAACATCGAAAGATGATTTATGGGGTAAGAGATGCGCGTGGATCCAGCAGGCTATGGTTGACGGGAGGTTGTGATTTACATTTCGTTCTGCTTTCGGTGACTCGACTGAGTTAATTTTCTATGAGACCCCCCAGTCGTGATTTTGGAAGCATAGCTACCTACCTTACCTATCATCTATAATTGTAGGGTTGTATAAGTCTATCCAATATGCGTTTATTGCATAATTTATTTCTATTGTTATTCCATTAGTGGCAAGAGGTTGAAAAGGGGACCGTCGCATCCGGCAATATTTTGCGGGTTTCAACCTTTACATCATGTTACTGGCTAATGTTTATGTATATTTAATCGGCCGTGCCATCATGTTCGAGGTGACCGAGTGGACATATAGGGTTCTCTGGGTTGTACTGGCGGCCCTTGTATTATACCTATTCCGGGTCAACCAGCTTCTAAGTCGGACACCGGATGAGGTCCGGCGTCTGTCGGGTTCACGCTGGACGATAGATCAGCTAAATAAGACTTATAGGCAATTGCAAGAGAGGCCAGTAGACTATACAAATAAACTTCCACCGAAGCTAGAGCGTCGCTATGTTGTGACGGGGGGTTCGGGTGAGTATTTTTATTTACGTCCTGACTTTTGCTTGTAGAGACTGTTGCTTAAAGCTTGAATTCCTGCCTACAGGACTTGTAGGTGGTTTCATCGTGCTTCAGCTTCTAGCTCGTGGTAACCCACCGGAGAGCATTCGAATTATTGATATTCGAAAGACCGAGCGTAATGATATGAGTTGCGGACCGGCTACAGAGGTCGAATTTATACAGACAGACATCACATTATCCGATTCTGTCGATGCTGCTTTTGCGCGTCCATGGAATCCTAGCGTTGCTCATCTACCTCTAACAGTGTTCCACACTGCGGCAGTGATTCTAGCTTCCGAACGGTCTAAATTTAATTACTCATTCCCGGAAGCTATCAACGTGATAGGAACAGAGAACGTGCTGGCGGCTGCCCGCAGAGCCGGTGCGGATATTTTTAGTTCCACATCATCCGGATCCATATCTGTTCGTCCCGTCGAACCGTTTGTACTCCCATGGGCAAGCTCGCCGCGAAACTTTTGGCAAGTTCTGGATGTAGGCGACTTCAATGCGCCTTTGAAAGGACGTGAGGGATACTTCGCCAACTACCCCGCTTCGAAAGCTGTCGCAGAAAGATTTGTCTGCAGTTCGAATAACGAGAACTTCCGCACTGGTTGCATTCGTCCTGCGAATGGCGTCTACGGACACCCGACAGATAATACCGTCGGAGACCCTCTTAGTAGAACGGTCTTACCTAGGTGGGTTTTTTGTCACCCAGTCTCGTTCGGTGCACTATGCTTACACCAATATGAACAATAATAGTTGGGTGTCCCATATCGTACAGAGCTTTGTGCATGGCGCGAATGTATCCATCGCGCACTTACAGCACGAGGCGGCGCTTGCCCGGCCTTGGATAGAGAGCTCCAGACAGGCGGGCCGGCCATTCGTAGTAACAGATCCCAACCCACCAATTACGTACGGTGATCTGTATAACGCGATCGAGACTCTCTCGGTGCACCCATTTCACATTATCAAGGTGCCACCCGTCGTTATGCTCCTCCTCTCGCATGCGGTAGAGATCTATGCAGAATTACCTTATAAGTATCCGCTTTTACGCAAAGTACTACCCGAACTTAAAGGTGATATCAAACACCTCAAGCCGGGGATTTTCTCGATATGCACTCATCTAATCGCATCGAATGACGAGATCAGGAAGCCGGTTTCTCAAGGTGGTTTGGGGTATACCGGTGTACTCACTACTCTAGAGGGAATGACGGCAGAGATCCTAGAATGGAATAAAGAGCATGCCGATGATGTCAAGATGAGAAAGGCCTACACAACGTCAGTCTCCCTAGCAGAACAAATTCAGGAGCTCTGGTTAGTGCGAGGTGGTTCTGTCTCTAGTTGGCAATGATATGCAATCTCACCAATGCAATGACAAATGCGAATATACGTACTCATTTCATCGGTTTGCATACCTAGGTATGTAATTGAAGATATTTCCTATTATAACAGTGAAGATAATTCATTATATCCCATCTGTGCGGTGGCTCTGCATGTGTCAAGTTCTGTGAGAAATACCAGCATTATGCGCATATTGATCTACCCAGGAGGTAGCTGAAGGTCGGTAGCTAACGCATAACCTGCAATCCGCAAATCGTAAATCGCAAGGTTATTAACGTTTGAATTGCGCTTGCGATTGTATTGTCTGCATTGTAACAGCATCCATTATCGGAATAGATATTCGAGGAAGAGGTAATCGGTACCGAGGGGTCGTATGCAAAATACAAAAAGACTTTTCATCATTTCAATTGGAGGTTTTCGTCATTTTTCTTTGTTGGTTTGCCTAAAGTTAGACATTGCATTGCATTTGCATTGCATGTTTCTGCCTCTTTTATGTACTGAACTGACTTTCTCAATTAGCTCTCAATTGGCCCTTTTTTTTTTTTTTTTTTTGCTCCGCCCTTTTTCTTTATTAAAATAACTTTCGATTTGCGGTGGATAGTTAAAGATCCAAGATTCCGTTTCCGCGATATTCATAGGATCTTCGATCGCTCTAGATAACCCCGGATTCGTGAGTTGATGAGCGGGTTCGCAACTTTTCATCCCCTCTCCAAGTCTTAAAAAAGGTCCCAACAAATCAAAGATGCCACTGAATTCGAACGGTTCAAATAGTGCGCATTGGCCTATGGCTGAAACGTGGTTTCCCCTGCGTTGGTCTGCGTTGGCTTGCGTTGGTCTATGCAGGCGCTTTATCATAACGGGTAAGGCTTTATGCACATTAGATGGGCTAGGATAGGCTTATCAGGATAAACTGAGAGCCAACACGTGCTAGAACAATCTTGGTTCAGCCCCCGGGGGGTATGAATGTTCTGCTAATATTCCACTTATTCGCGTGCTTTTTAGTGGCTAGGTTAGTGGCTAATCCGGCTAGACATTCTGCGACGGTAGGGGGGGCTAAAGCCTAAGACTGAACCTTGCCTTTTGGCTGCATTTAGCTGCATTTAGCTGCATCTTTAGCGAGCTTAGGTAAATCATAGCTGAACTTCCCCTTCCCATCTTACGGTCCTTACCATCCTTACCATATTCACTCGCTCGTTCCTGACCCTGTTGGCTCATTTCTATGCAAACTCTCTTTCCCCTTGTCAATAAACTTGACCTAACTCGTCTCTAATCTGCTCGCCTCTTTTTATTCTCTTCCTTTCCCACCCAACCCCCAAATTCCATTCTTTTACTAGTCACTCATATACCCGACTACATACCCGGTGAACACAGGACTGTTCCCTTTCGTTCGTTTTTCACGAGTACCTAGTTTCCAAATTGACCGGGAAAAAAATACATCGATCGCTACTGTATACGCGCTCTTTCATATCAGAAAGATCAACTCACGACTGTACCTGTTAGAACACAATAGACATCAATTAAATCAACCAAGGAGCTTTGAGTCACGCCATTGACTCCTCAACATATTAGTCGTAATACCAATTGGATTGCAAAAAGTCAACAATACCACCGTGAAGCACAAGAAATTTGCTCCAAACAGAGTAACTAGGAACCCAATTCATCACAATGCCGAGCTTCATCGAAAAGATCCAAGCTAAGCTTGAGCTATTCCGGCTCGAGCAGCGATACACACGTAACCGCCACCGCCGCTCTGCTTTCATCAGCAATGCCATCTACGTCGATGGCGAGTACATCTACCAGACCCCCAATACCACGGGATCATCTACCAATAGCTCCTCCACTGCTGCCTCGTCGCCAGTCGAAGAGCACAATAGACGCCATAGTGCTATCGTCGAAGAGCCAAGAAGCCGTTATAACATGGAACCCCAGACACCGGCGCAGAAGAAGCGATTAAACCGATTCTCATCAATGCCGGGATTTGGCTCTTCATCAAAGAGCAGCTCTCGTGACTGGAGACCTGACGTTGTCGACGTGAACGAAGTACGATGAACCACCAATGGAGGTGTTCATCAAGAAGACAACGATAGATGAAATTACATTAGGCCGGTGTACATGGTGTCATGAGCTGACTAGGAATTGTTTTCTGTTTGAATATACCAACTCAATGGATGGTTTTAACTCATCATGGAGCATCAAGGACTTTGACGATTGCCCTTAGATCAGTATTTGGTGTATCGCCAAGTACTACGGTATCATAGATATCTCGATCGTGCGATGGCTTTTTGGATTCGGCGTTATGACACGATTTTTCGGCTGTATATATTTGCTCTCACGACAAGGGAAAATTGAATAGTATTTCAAAGCTCATGACTAACTTAGGTTTTTAGTCCCACGAAATTAGAATTATGTACCTTTTAATCCATTATATCGTTAAAGTTGCTTAGACGCTAAACATGACGATTCTATTCTACAACAATGTCGTCCCAATTTATAGCATATCAAAAGTGACGTTAAAGGTTTTCTTTTTATCTAGAAAGGATCGTCAGGTTACTGCCGCGGTGCAACCACCCAAAATAGGAGTCAAAATATGATTGGACCCGGCTGCAAGCCAGTTCATCCTCCTAACCGCATGCCGTTATCAGCTGGTACTATTATACCCCTACTATCATAATACCTCTTAATATATTTGAAGCAAGGCTAATTATGACATTGTCGACGGGCTCAAGAACTAAATTATCCTTTATTAGTAAGGTAGGGATTTTGCCGATACTACATAACTGTTCATACGACTATGAACTTACGATTCACATAATTGTCATTTCAGCCGATATTTAGATGAAAGAGCAGCACTTTATGAACCTACCTGCGTCATAGGACTATCTGTCACGATTCATACTTACTGGATCATGTTTATGATACATAATCTAGTAGTACTTTAGATACTAGTCGCACAGATGCGACTATATTCCAAGATACAGCAGTGGCACCGACGATCTCAACATGTAAATCTATATCTATTATATTCCAACCTGTGGTAGAACCTATCTATCCTGAAACCCAGTTCAAGTCGAGTGACATACTCGGTGATATCCTATCTGCATTCTTAACCTTCCACGGAATTCTTCGCCCATCATCGGATTTCTTCGCCCATCATCGGATTTCTTCGCCCGGACTAACCCTCTAGACATCAGTCTCGTTCAATGAGGACCTCATTCTGAGGTTTCCTCGTCGCAGGTGAAGACCTGTAGGTTGCGATACGTTAACGATATTCGATCCGTGATATAAATAGTCTAAAGTTTACTACAACTTACCAGGAGACCGTTTCTCGTTTGCAGCCTCGGAGAAGTTTCCATTCCTGCGGGTAACTATTGAATTTCGCATTAGCCAAACTCATCTATTCATTACGACATCTCATAAATGCATACCTAAAGAGCCGGCCGCATTCTCTGTAGAATTCACACCCCTTGGGATCACTATTACTCTCAGTTAGCCCTAAGTCATCTATCAGTACCCCTCGAACGACCGGCAGACGTACCTAATGACCTAGTCGCATTCTCCGTGTCATTTGACCTACTTCCGATCGCAACTCTGGGTGCTAAATATTATTAGCTGGATTCAGACTGTAGATAATACGAGTTACCATACCAAGTTCCAGTGCCCGAGCCGCAATGCTGGCAGCTATATGATCAGTCAGCTAGCATATTCAAGTATTCCTTCTGGAGACCTTTTTAAGGGAAAAAAAAGGAAGACTAATAGAGGTTCAAAACATACGTTCAGCCGAAACAGCTCGCCTCTCACTTCTGAATGCTGGTGTACCGGTTACGAAAGAGCCGGCTGAGGCCAAGAGGAAAAGGATCGCGCCAAAGTTCTTCATGGTGTTTGATTATGCAGAAGCGACAGAAAACTGGACTTGATGTTGAGCTATGGAGGACTACCTGGTCCAGAAAATAAACTGGATCGGACCGAGTTAGCAATAGGGGAGGGTGGTAAGAAGCCTTGTAAAACTCACATCAAGCTGGTTTCTAGGTATTAAACACAGGAAGACAGCAAGTAGTTAGAATAGAATATGTTGAGAGATGTATAATACGTAGGTTATCACAGAGGGTTATAGGAAGATAATATATAATGTATGCTTGATAGGGGGTACCACAACCTCCTAGATAAACAGTTCACACAAACATATTGCGATCGCCCGTCCCCTCAGCACGTCTAGTATGGTCGTTGGGATGGAAGATTCCGGGATTCGATCAGACCAGACCCTCTTATTATGAGAACACCGGGTCTCCTAAGTCGCGTTGACTTGGCTACAGTGAAGCGTTTCGAGGTCTTCCAGCCGCACAGCTTATCTATGTGTCTCTGGTCCTCGCAACCACGTACCTATTACGGATACATGTGCGAGGGCTACATAACTGTACCCTCCTCCTCTATCAGGACTCGCCGCAGTGAGCAAAGCACTTTCGCTGCGCCTGGCGGTGCGACCTTTACACTAGGCGCTGCAACTCACGGCAGACAAGCCAAATCCGCACAGCTCGTTGGCTTGTGGCGGTCGCACATCAAACCGGTCCGATCCACAGGCTAGAAAATCCGGATACCTAACGGTTAGTGATTGACGGCGTGTGGAAATCGAAGGGGTGGAGCTGCGACGTGATCGGCTGGCCTATCATCGCCGATCGCCCTCACTGGCGGTCGCTCTCAGCCTCTCACTTCCTCCTGCCCCTGATTCACATGTCAGCGATCTTCCAATGAGAACGGTGCAAGTTTACAAAGGGCAAGGCTGGGAAAGATGGTTCTACAGAGATATTAATGGGTCTTGGATTGAGTAATTGGCGGTAAGAACTTCCCTTACTTTGGCCATTTGAGATACACAATATCAAGACATAGTTACCTACCTAACTTACCTAGGCAGATAACTAGCCTGAGTAGTTAATAACTACCTATATGAATAATACTTGTTCCTTTCCCAAAGGTCAGTAGCACAGCCAGCGCCTCTTTGTATCACGAAGCGTTTAGACCGTGACAAAACACCTATCATATTACATTCTAGAGTAAAGTCTCAGCCCTACGCGACCGTGCTGATACAGTGATAGGCAAGTAAATATGGATCATGACGTCAGAGCTGTCTTCGTTCCCAATCTCGTTTGCGGGATGGCGGGACTGAAACATTTCCCGTTAAAGGTGGCTGGCTTGGCCGGGGTTCATGTCTCTCAAGAAAACTATCGATATCTGATCTTTTTTTTTTTTTCACCCAATTATGAGGTCAATAAGAAACCCCTTAAACTGTTGGCTACCCAATATCTAATATTTAGATGAGTCTGATCTTGATTATCGGGATGAATCTTAAGTATTAATTTTATATTAAAACTCGGCTGCCCGCCTACCTTGGATCAGGCTTTGTGATACCTTGGGTGTGAAAAATGGCCAATAAAGGGGGGCCACCCATTATCAATTATTATAACTTGATTGAGTACATTTAAATAACATCAGGCCGACCCTCAGGACTAAACTACTAAATAATATTGAGCACGTGGACTAGCCGCAAGGTCTTGCCGAGAGTGGCTATGGGTTGCAAATATATTGACGCTGGATGTCGTTGCGCATCTGGGTGAAATACGTCGATGTACTCGCATTGTTCTCAACATGCAGTCGGCTCGGTGCAAGCTAGTTGTCATGCGACGACTTGGCTATTTTGATGATGATAGTAGTAGGTATCTGTATTTGTGTTAAGACATGTTTGGAAGCTGTTAAAGAATTTGCAGATTTATAACGGTGTTCCCATCTCATGGACTCGGGAGATGCGATATTATTACCACAAGCTCCAATGAGTCTTTGGCATGATACCACCTTTACAGGCTGCTAGCGAGACAGACGGGGCCTCCGATGTAGTCCATCTTACAGTCCACCTGAACTCCATCTAATTCACAAGAAATGCCAGGCCGAGAATGATTCATCGTTCAACAGTCTTATGTACAAGTGTTTTATTCATTAGCTCAACTCGATATCCGGACCCTGCAGAGGCAAATGGAGAACACCCCCACGATTATATTCCTATTTCGTCCATCAGTCACGTAACTCTCCGAACATCCTTGTTTCCGAGAGATGCCTCTAAATAGATGCCATCCGATCTCCGGTTGATATACATACACCCCTGGTGAGCTTGTTGCAGAAAATGAGGCAAACCAGTGGCCTGGGGTATCTGGTTACGAGCCCATGCAGTGTTGTCACTACGATGCATCTCCTTCACAGCTGTATTAGTGGCAAGCCATAGGTCAACTTGAATAAGGAAATATGACATACTTCGCTTATGAAGTTAGCATTGAAAGTTCCGCTCCACCGGGTAGCCATGGTTATGGATCTCGTGAGATCCTCGTATATCATTAAGTAGTGGTTGCTATCCGCTTCGATCCCGGCCTCGCGTTTCGGAATTTAGGTGTAGAATATAGCTTCAGTTTGTTACTGACGACCTAGATCATCGTCTTATCCATACTAACCACGAGAAGAGAAAATATACTGGCTTAGTCCCTGGTAATTTTCCATAGTCGTACAGAAGAGTTTAACAAATACATGTTGGCTTTAGAGTTATAGAAGGGTCTTGTGACAGTGTAAAAGTATTTTATTATCATGTTATCTAGAATTAGTCGTGGCTAATGGAGCACTAAACAAGAGTTCTACATAGAAGTTTTCACTATAGTCTATCGGTTCACTCTGTGCTTTCAGCTCGAATTAAGATTAGTTATATTTGAATTTACATAATTCACTTCGTTGAACGTGATGCTATGATTTATAAAAGCCTTTTTCTAATCTATGAAAGACGAATTATACAATTAAAAGGCCGAGATATGCTCTAATAGAATTGTCTACTGCTCATACTCGCCCCACAATACATCCATAAAGCATCCAACGAACTCTAGCATAATTGCTTCTGTACTCGATAACATCTTCCATATCATTCTCAGAATTTGTAATACAAAGTCTTTACATACGCACCGACTGCACACATGGGGACTGGATCCGTACTGTCTAAAGTATAAAATCTCCGTCGCGTTCGGAGACAATAGGGGGTGTGGCCCTAGTGCGGGGCTCCTTACCTCCTTTTATCTCCATAGTCCGAAGCCGAAGTCTGAGAAGCATCGCGAGTTTACCTACCTACCTAAGGGAGGCCATTGCGAAAAGAATACGATATATAAAGGCTGTGTAACTAGTCTTTAATAACTAGAAGACGAGACAGGTACTTATCAATCTATAAATTTTGATATTTCTAAAGTCCCTATTACAACTTACAATGGCCCCGCTTTACAAGAAAACCCTCATCATCGGCGCCACCTCCGGCATTGGCGAGGCCCTCGCCGCGAAACTGCACGCCGAGGGCACTTCTGTAATCGTTACCGGCCGCCGCCAGGATCGTCTCGATGCGTTTGTTGCGAATCATCCCGGGTCTAGTGGTGTCGTGATCGACATCACCAAGTTCGATGACATCCCGTCTTTCGTCGCCTCCGTCACGCAGCAGCACCCTGATATCGACAGCGTGGTACTCAATGCCGGCATCCAACGGCCGTTTAACTTCGCCAAGCCTGAGACTGTAGACTTGTCTACCTTCGCTGAGGAGTTTAACACTAATTACGTGTCTTTCGTGCACCTGGTTAAGGCCTTCTTGCCGCACTTACAGCGCGTATCCAAGGATGCCGAGGCTCACTTGGTATTTATAAATGCCTCGTTGGCACTTGTACCGACGTGTAAGTACCTACTTATAGATTCATTTCCCTCTCTAGACCCATATTGTATGGGTTTAAGTCTTCGGGAGCACGACTTCAGCATTCAAGCTTATCTCCTTTACAATTACTCACCCTAACCTCTAGTAACTCGTACACCCGGATATAACGCCAGCAAGGCAGCACTCCACTCCTTCATCGTCAATGTGCGACAGCAGATCAAAGACGCCGGTTATAAGATCCGCCTTGTTGAAGTGTTCCCTCCCGCGGTGCAGACAGAGATCCATGACACGAAGCACCAACCAGACATGATAAACGGCCATGAGATAGGCATGCCCCTTGGCCCTTATACCGAGCGCATGTACGAGGGCTTGCAGAAGGGCGATGAGCAGTTTGCTATCGGACACGCAGAGGAGTACGTAACCTTACCACTTCCCTTCTCTTCATAGAAAGTTATACTTACCTTTTCCTAACCCGTTATAGGTGGCTTAATGAAGGCGGTTTCGAGGCTACGCGAGCGAAGCTATTCGAACAAGGTCACGTCACTATCAAGGAGGCCCTGGCGAAGTATGTGAAAAGTGCATAGTAGGTAGTATTCTACTTCTTCTTCTACCTATGCACTACATAGTCTATAAACTTAAAATAGCATATACATGTAACCATGTTATACTCTATAGTGTAGTTATCATCATTACGTAGTCCCCTTGTAACGCCTGCTTTATAAATCGACCCTGAACGCCTCGTCGTAGTGAAATTCTAATAGACAGGAAACAACTAATAAGGTGTATTAGGAATTACCCATTAATACCCAAACGGATCTAACCGGTCTGCTGCGGCGCGGATCTTCCTCGTGACATCGTCAAGCTATAAAGTAAGTTAGTCAATCCAAAATCCTCCATGTGCTAAGTGTGTTATAATAATAAACAAACATTAAACATGAACTTACATAATTAAAATCGAAGATGGAAAAGTGGTGACCTTCTACATCCACAATATCTTTGATGAAACTACCATGTTCCTCATTGTAATTACTCCAGCCCAAAAGTCGGTCTTCCCGCGTGAAATCGACGAAGCTCTTAGACGGGTCGCGGTTGAACCACTCTTTCGCTCGCAGGAGGATAGTCGGCGGTGCTTGCAGCCCATCCTCCCAGCGTGGTAAATCCCAGAATGACACCATAACGCGGGCATGTGTCATGTTCACGTTGACTTTCTCTTTTAGCTTCATAGCCTCTGACTCCTGGGCTGATAACACTACGGGCTCAGATGGTAACCGTGCCCGCATCTCGTCTGTGTAGCTTGGGCAGAGGCTGTCGATGAAGACCATGCCTTTAACCCGAAACTTAGCCCCCGTACCACCGTCACGCCTCGCTACGGCAATCCGGTGCGCCATCTCAAGAGATAAGAGCCCTCCCAGTGACCAACCTGAGGTTCGTATTAGTATATATGGATATTTAATATTATTGATAAGCGGATACGTACCTCCGAGGAGGATATCGCCGCCCTCGGGGATAGCCTTAGAAAGGAGTCCGACGTAGTAGGCGGCCATCTGAGGGATACCACCTTCCCACCAGCCACCTTCGTGGAGCCTAGCGTTCGCGAGACCCCATAGCGGGCGGCCAATCTGGCTCAATAGATGATAGTTGAAATTAGTACCACCACCGTCGTGGATCAAGATCAGCGGGGCACGCGGCAGCGCCGGTCCCTGGTAAATCAGTGCCGGGTTCGGGAGGTAATCGTACATAGATAGTAGTGGTGATGGATTCAGCCGATTCAGACTTGTGTGGAATGAATGGATGCTCTGCTCGAGCGAGGGATTGAGCAGATGAGCGTTTACCTACCTAGGTATCTATACCTTAGGTACTTAGAACAGGGTAATTGGACGTGATTGATTGATACTTCACGACTAAGCAAGGCAAGAATTGATCAGCTTCCCCAATTCTATTCCTTGCCTTAGGTACTAATTCCTTCTATTAGTTTCGTCGTCGACCTCGCATCCCATATGTTTGTTTCTTTGCGTGCGGGGATTTGGCGTTGATCTGATGAGATGAGATGAGATGAGGAGGAAGCGAAGTTAGGTAATTGAAGCCGACGCCGGCCGTGTACCGGATCTCAAGGGTAATACGGAATATTGAATCCGTAATTGATAGGTACCTAGGTAAGCACCAAGTAGGTTTAGGTGCTAATTCTCCTCCGGTATGAGATAAAGTTTATTAAAGGAAGACCAACCGTTCTTTGAATATAAATGTGTAACGAACAAAAAGTTCGATTTAGGTGTTGAGAAAGATAGTGGAGTTGATTAATGATTAATGATTAATGCCTGAGTAGAAGAAGATTGCTGTGCCCTTCCGCCGTAGTATGCAGCCAATTGAAGGCAAACCTTAGGTAGGTGCATCCTAAGGTGGTACATACATATGTAGTAGTAAGGTTTGACCTAATGCATGCAGCTTGGCGAGTGTTCCTTCTTTTCTTTACTTTTCCTTCACACGTACAATTCACATGTATACATATTCGTGGGGCAACTCTCATTGGATCCAACTCATGTAGTGTTACCCTCCTTATCTCTCGCAACCAGTTTCTAAGAACCTACCTTCTGCTTATACGCATAGTAGTTATAGTGATATATCTATTAAACGCATCCTTTTTTCACATGAAAAATATGAAAATTGCAAGTACCTAACCACATTCTCAACATCCTCAATCAATCAAGTTTTCCACCCATAAGCTCAACAACAGCTGTCATGCATTAATAAGAAATACGTGAGGGTTTGATAGGTACCTACATGTAGTGTAGCCCCCAACCGCCACCTCCTATACCCCCCCACAAATTAGTTGACCTATTAACCTACAAGATTGATCATGCTGTAGCCGCCATCGTGCAGTATGATGTTCTGGCCAACTTCATGAGATCCATCCTATTTATAATTCTTCAAGACTTATCTATGTACAAAAGTAGTAGTTGATTAGTTAGATACCTGTAGGTACCTAAATAATTGTGAAATATTTATGTAAATTCAATATCTAGATTAAGTCAACGTGGTAATGAGTACTTGTAAGTTCAAAATGCGAAAGACGCGATAGGTTTCCGATTTATGCGGAGCGGACATCTTACCAATGACATTCTCACAGTGACATTCTCGCAGTGACAATTCTCAATTATTAACTACCTCCTAGGTACCTCATCATCTATGCAACATTCCTTATGATCCACATATTCCCCTACTGTTGTTCAAAATCCGACGGCTGCAGTAACTGGTTGTCTAACAGCTTCCCCATGTGTGTTTTCTCAATACTCTCGCAATTGCGTCGGATCTTAGTGTGGAGGATTTTGAAAAACGCCGCTGGGCTGCTCTTCAGGCCTGACTCTCCACCAACCCTACCCGTGCTGTCTTTGGCTATGAACCCGTCGGCAGCAATCTCTTCCCCCTCCCTGGGCGTACTGTAGCTAATGCCTAGAAATTGGCATGCGTCCACATATTGCTTATATGAGTCAAAGTAGAGTTGTCCGGCGAACAGGTTCAGTTCCGTGATAAGGCTTTGGGGCACCTTGCGCGACGCTAGCCTCTCGGGTACCGTATATAAGTCAAGCTTGTCAAGGTTGCAATAGCCTAAATTTGCTCTAGGCGCATAGAGGTGTAAGGCAACAGCTTTGGATCTCATTATCATCGGTAACAGCTTATTTGCCTCGTATGGGCTAATGACCATCATATGCTTGACGAGCGTATCCGTAGAGTCTCCATCGCTAGGAGGTGCCCCCGTCAAGATCCATTGGACCGTGCGTTGGTATGAATCTAAGTGATCTGAGGTGCCGCGTCGTATAATAGTATTTACAAAGTCATTTGAGACAAGTAACCCAGGACGGAACTGGGACACGTCGAAACAAGCCCCTGCCGAAGTATTGCGCAAGGTTGAAAACGCATGCATATATCCTGGAGACCCTTGGGTGATCATGCCAGAGGTGATGAATGTTTCGATATTGTTGTGGATTGTATGAAGAGCTGGTTCTGCCGCGGGAGGCCTCTGATCTTGCCGTTCCTGCTCAATCTCCGGCGATAACTCGCGTTCTTCCTCTTCTTGAAGCTCTGCTGAATTGAGCTTCAAATTTTTGAACTCATTACATCGTAAAGAGATCGGATCTGTGGTGTTTGTACCTACCACTTGCGAACGTGTAATTGCGTCACTGTCGGGGCGAGGCCGATACCTGTACTCGAGTGTCTTCGCCTCCTCTTCAAGATATTTCTTGGCGAGGCCTTCGGTAAGATTGACCTTGCCGCCAGAACGGGCCTCTTTCCATATATTCCTATGGTTTTCGTTGCGTCGGCCCTGGTTTTCCCACAATGCCATACTCCTATGGATGTCTCTCCATGTCTCACCGATTGACCAGGCCAGAATATCCAAGACTGAGATATCCTGGTCGGCAGAAAGTCCGATATCAGCCCTATGCGCCCGGATCTTTCTTTGGATTTCGTCAGGGACGCAAAATACCACCGACTGTCCCTCTGCTAGCATTCTCATCCGCATGCAAGCTGATATGTGTCAGTTTGCATAATGATATAACAGTAAGGTGCTGGGTTGGCTCACCTTGTACTAGCCTGTCTTTCGTTAAATTTGCCCCCAACGTGACAGCTGCACGGTAATCCCTTGGCAACTTCAGGTCAGTGCCTCTCGTGTGCTATAATAACCAAAGTTAGTAATTACTTTTTCTAAACAAATATCATAAAAGTTTAAGGCATTTCTATCTAGTCAGTTCGGCCAATAGCCCCTGGCACCTGAGAGGTCAGCAAAAAGGGGACAGAGCTGTAAATACATACCGCTTCATCTAAGAAAACAACACACACATCCGGTTGTGACACAAACGGTGAAGTATGGAGAGGCTCAAGATGGCCCTTTTTGTCTAGAACATAAAGCTCGTCGTTGTCGTCGACGAAGATGGCCGCTTGAATATTACTATCATATTTAGTCTTATCTAACCATGATCTCGCTACTTCGAAGTTATTCAGCTCAAGTATCTGAGCTCCCACGTCTAGTATGACTCGAGTCGGCGGATCGAGCTTTGTAATAATGTTCAGTAGCACATCGGCGACCGAATTCTCGCTCTCCCGACGCGGCGGCAGGAGCGTAACGGAATTCTTGGAGTGGAGCAAATTCTCTAGGACTAATGCGTTTGTGTGCTTCTGGTCCTCGAGATCTAGCTGCTCGACATCAAGTGGTAGTACCTGGCGGGAGTCGTTTGTGCCGCTAAAACCTGTTGTTGGATGAGTCTTGACTTGGCCTATATCCCAACCCGAAGCAGAAAGCCTGTGCGAGAACTCTTTCATTTCCTTTGGGAAGACTGTATACGCTAGGAAATAGTCTATGGTGCTTTTAGAATGCCGAAAAGAGCTAAATAGGGACTGTGTACATTCGGCATCTTCGAGGTTAATGCCAACCAAAGTTTTGGAGGTATCACGTAGATTATCTGCATCTTTTACCCACACCCCGAACTCCTGATCGGCTTGGTCAGACCTAAGGAGGTGTTTGAAAGTTTGCAATAGGTCTTCGTACTCAAGACCGCCATAATAATAACTCAGAGAGGTGAGGATGATAACAACATCCGGATGACTGAATTCAGACCGCAGCGAAGGGTTGTCTTTAGCTCTGTATGGAACTGCGAGTTTAGTGCTTGGTTGTCTGTTTGAGTCAAGGCCGTAGTCAACTCTCCACCGCTTGTACCCGAACACGAAGCCTAGTACGCCCCCGGCTATAAGACCTCGCAATAGGAGCAAAGTTTGGCTAGCACGCGTCCAAAATCCCTTCAGGCTAGGGTCTTCAACGAGCGCAATATCCGTAGTAGCAGGTTGAACCTCAGTAATGTATCTTATTATTGCTTGACGTACATGTTCCTGCTGTCTTGTAATGGGAAAGCCGTTGAGGCCTGTTGCACAAATGCGTTTCGTGACCCGAGAGAGAATCTGGTCGGCAGCATCCGGTTGCAAAATACGAGTACGTGGGAAACATCCGGGATACTGAGAATGAACCTCCAGCGCACCGGGGAGGTTAGTACGAACTTCCAAGACAACTTCTCTAACTACCTCTAGGACCTGATGGATGCACACCCATCTTTCGGGGCTGTACTCAGTCGGACGTTGTATGCCCATTGTATAAACCAACTCAAATTTAACGCTAAAGTTTTCATCGCTCTCATCGACGATATCACGAGTATTCGTATTAAGGTATTCTTGCCTTTTTACCAAGGCACGACCGATCGGCTCTTTTTCAGTTAGGATACACTCGATACCCATAAGCTTGAAAGACAGGACGTGTTCGGGCTGCATTAAGAATATGCCCCCATTTCTCTTGCAGGCTTTAAACATATCTCTCATCACCAATATCTCAGAGTTTTCGACTTTAACTGCGCGAGAGAATGGCATGTGAAAGATCTGTCGATCCAGCAAACCCCCAAGCTTAGAGATAAGCATTTGGTACATCTGTCTCGACTGCGGTTTTCCAACAATTACCCGGACTAAACGAGAACCATTTGCGAGAGCTGTTGCGACCATGGGTACGATGACAGATGACTTCCCTTCTCCCATGTTTAACTGCATGACGGCATTCCTACCCCCTTCGGGGCTTCTCATATTCTTGGCTATTTGCTCCTGAACTGGACGGATCATAAGGTCGCCCTCTATTTCCAAGAGCAGAGACTCTGGTTGATCTCGTGGGTGCCAGTTCGTATGGCCAAGATTTCGCAGTTCGCTTACTAGGACAGAAGGGTTGTGAACTGCCCTTAGCAAGCGGTCTGCTCGCTGTAGCTGAGAAATGGTTATGCCGTAATTAATTATGCAGTTTTTCCAGTCTTCAGGTAGCTTCCGCCACTTGCTACGACGGAGACGTTGCAAGAAGAAGCTTGGTGATAGTCTTGGCCATTGATGAGTAGAATATAAGAGAGCTCGTGAAGTAATCCGTTCGTCTCCTTGATCGGATATAACAGCTTCTTCTATGGCCCTATAATTCTTATCAACTACTTCTTGGCAACTATCGCGATGGCGAATAAGAAGTTCTTCAAGCTCTTGTACACCTTTCGTCAGGCAGTACTCCTTCCTCCAGCCCTGTAGTGACCGCGTGCTATTCTTAAGGTCTAATACGTAACGTCTTTCGTATTCAGATTGTACTTGCTTGTCTAATCTCGACAGCAGAAAGGGAAGCTGCGGTACTTCGTTACTATCATTATTGATCAGGGATATGCTTTGTGCCATATCAGCACATGGTAACATAACAGGAGCCGGGGTAGTGAATATTTCGTCGTTGCTGGTAAAACCTAGCTCCCTCGTACAATTCCAAGAGGGAATAGTTGGAGAGAATCGAGAAATGGGAATTGGAATGACATTCCGAGGAATCCTACCACCGATCTGGTTGAGATAGTTCTCAAGCAGGTGGTTATGATAGCGTGGCCTGAATAATTCTGTTACTTTATTCATGGCCAAACACACATCTATGTATTTCCACCATTCCGCAGAACTCGTGTTGTGAGGGAAAATCGGACACTCACAGGGCCATTGGGTTTCTAGTTTATCGCTAAAAGCTCTGACTGCTTCCTTTCTTTTGTCCTGAAATATCCGAGACTGTCGGCGCTCAAAATCGGACAAGCTCTCCAATGGATCTTGAGACAGAGAAGCTTTCGGACTTTCCTGAAACGGACGGCGTGAATCGTAAATAACTTTGTGTAATTTTGAACTGTCGACCCAAGAGCCAAGAGAGAGCTGAAAAATGTCAACTGCAGGTGGACTAAGAGCCATTTCAGGAACTGTGAAGAAGGATGCCAAAACCTGAAGGATTGTCATGTTAGCATCATTAGCGAATGAAATCGTAGAAAGCCAAAACATGACTTTGAACTTATTGAGTTCGGTTCTATTGCTCAATAACTCGCAGATTTGAATCCAGTGTTTGGCGACGAACTCAGTCGAACCTAGAAGCAATGTGGAATCGTAGTTTACTTCGATATCTGGAGAAGAAGAGCTAATAGACCTAGGCCCAAGCACGTCATACCGAGCAAGGAATTCCCGGATACATTTTCCTAGGTCTGCCACGGTGTTTTCATTCAGAGCGAACGGTTCTCGGAATATAATTTTAGACAGAACATAAGCCCGGGAGGCTCTTTCAGAAGACTGATCATTGTCTCTGCCTAGATAAACCACATCCGAGGATGTAGTATGGTCCTCAGCACCAAATCCCGAGACGCGGAATGTAGATGAACGAATGATATCACGGCGTAGGAGGCTCTGTTCAACCTGATGTAGATCTGGCGGGGAAACATAAGAATCTGGGTGGAAAATTTTCGAGTTATTGGCTTGGTCGAATATCGAGCACACAATTTGATAAAACTCATCATGCTGGGCCAGGAAGTCAAGGTATGGATCCCATACCACAGTTTGCATTTCCCGTTCGTTAGCTGGGTAATAGTATCGCGCTGGAGTAAGCAGGGCGATTTTCTTCAGTAACTCAAGGTTTTCTTCTGTAAGCTTTATAAAAGACCGCACAGCGGCAGACTTCAAGATGGATAGTGCTTCCTCCGTTCCTGTTTTCCCTGTTAAGGGATCTGGTAAGGGAAAAGAGGTAAGCGCGTGAAGATACGACAAGAGTAGCCTGCCCTGTAGACTTCCATTGTTAATAAGTCTGCCAATTAAGCCGTCAACCTCATAAATGTAGGCCATCGTAGAAGATTGCTTTTCAATATCAACATGGATATGTTTCCCGTACTTATTGAATGATACATTTCCATTTGGGATGAGGGCTTTGCGTCGAACTCGGCCGTTGTCGCCTTTCAGCACAAGCATACTTTGGAGACCAATCAAGGTTCCAATCGACTGGTCCTCATCTACCAACATTCCACGGAATTGGTGGGAGTATATTGAAGTTTCTCCCTGCTTCAAGTGGAACCCTAGTTTTAACCTAGGAAGTTCAATATCTACAGAGTCACCCTGGAGAATGATATGCGTCCAGGCAAGCTCTTCGAGACGTTTTAAGTTTGTTTTGAAGACTTCTTTCGCTGTATCACTCTTGATGTCGACAAGGAACGTACTACCTTTACGTAGCCGCCAGCAGTGACTTGTGGTATCCGAGCGTACCAATTTCCAGTTGTTTTCCGAGTGAGTCCATGGAAGCTCCCGAGGGCAGAACTCGACGCAATCATCAGCTTTGTTATACCAATGAACGAAGTTATCAATGAAAATTATCGGGAATGAATTATATAGGATGCTTCGGGGAACCAGTTCGAATGTTTCGTTGTCGATAACTGCTCGAACAAGGAGGGTTTCGGTAGGTTTGTCCAAGCCAAAATTTAGATTGTGTTCATTGAAAGTGTTTTTGGAACTGAATCGCATCCCAGGCACTGAGCTCGGCACAACTTCCAGAATCGACTTTCCAAATAATGTGGGATACATATAGTGTTGCTCATATTCTCGAGGTAGTCGACCTAGAGGAGAGCCATTGACGAGGAGTTCGCCCGTTAATAGACTGATATGGACGTCCAAATCACTGTCTCCGTTATTAGGTGTTGATCGGTTGACAATCCAATGATGGTATGGCCTCTGCTGGCGTATCCATTCTCCCGTCTGAGGGAAATCAGACCAAGTCTTCCTGATAGCATTGTCTAATGCTGGGCTGCTCTTTGCAATTATTTCTTCTGCGAGAATATCAAATGCTCGGTACGCAAGCCGCTCCCATCTTCGATGCATGATAGAAGTCCAATCATCTGTTTTCTTTGGAATGAAGTTTAGTCCTTCATTAATTACAATGCTGCACCGTATCATAGTGCAGGCAGAATCGGGAGCGGCTAAAAGGTTACGGAGATGTTCCTCTTCGGTGTTGAACGTGTCCGCACAGATCAGTGTTACTTTCACCAATCTACATCGCAGCTCATCCTTAATATCGTCATCCGTAGCATCTTGAATTTTGTTTTCCAAATCGTGGATCCATTCCGAAGTGATCTTGCGAATATCAGCTAAAAGTTTGAGACACCTGTCTTTCTCATTTTGGGAAGACGTCAGTGAAAGAAGACGTCTAGCTATGGAAACGAAGATCCCATGCGCTTGAAAAGATTGCCAATTCTCTCTAACCCTAAGCAGTGCTTTATCCAGGTTATCCAGTAAGACACGAGAAAATTGCGCGTCGATGAGGATTTTATGACTATTCCTAAGCACATTATGTCCGTCACGAGGTCCAACTTGGAAGATGCATTGCGAGATAACCAAAACAGTCTCTTCTTTCCTGAAGTCTATGCTTGGTGACACAAGTTGCAGTAAAATGGTTTGCCATTGAATCAAGAAACCCAAAGGAAGAGACGTAAGCGCCTTGTACTCCTCTAGAGAGAAATTTGCAGGACAGGTCGACTGGGTAGCTATGACCTTGTTTGGTGGCGGGCCGGCGGGTTCCAATGGTACACGATGAATAAATGGTTGTATTGGTGATATCTTGTTCATAGGCCCTTTCGGTAATGAGTACGTGCATAGTTCAGTAATGTCGTCTGTAGACATAAACGAAGTAGTGAATAAATCGTTCGAGCTGTCATAATATCTCAAACGAAGCCCATTCTCGAGACAGACATCATCCGCAGTCTTAGTAGCAATAGCTTTCATACGGCGGTGGGTTCTCGTATGAGGCTTAACACCAGATAGCAGTATTATCCGTTGCCTTGAATCGAACCCACGGAAATACCTGGATAAGTAATCGGCTAACTTATGCTGAGCTACTGGTTTCTCTTCCACTGAGTACCTTAGCTTCAGAATGTCGTAAAGGACGAACACCGTAGTGTCACGCCACTGACCGAATGAGCAAGGAACTTGGAGCTCAAATATAGTCGACTTTTCTTCAAGTTCATTCCTGGGCAGTGGCCACTCATGTATTTCTATTTTTATCTGTCTTGCCTGCTCAGGGATGCCGCATTTTCGACAGTTATTGGTGCAAGGTTCAGAATGCTCGCCTGTGAATGGATCGACCCTTGTAATAGTATCATGTTTAATATTAATATCATCTAACATCTGCATGAGACGGTTGTACTCATCCTTTTTCTGCTGAAATTCTTCCCATTTTGCTTTCCTGTCCTGGCTTGCTTTATTGATAATGGAAGCGCGTAGCGTCTGATGTTGAACAGATTGATTGAAAAACCGTACAGAAAAGCAGCTGCTAGTACCAAAGCCGTTGAGTGCTTCGTAAGGGTACTGGGCCTGCGATCTGCGATCGATTAAATATTTTTCAATGTCGCGAAGCCTTATCATTTGGCTTTTTGTTGGCAAATTCAGATTCTCGAAGAGGCTCGATGGGATACCTGGCTTATACTTATCAAGTAACTTGCAATTTCGTATTGCTGATTTGTCGGATGCAACCCAGAGGTCGAGTATAGTAAGGATCATGATGGAGCTTAGCTCGGGGTTACCCTCGTAGCGCGAGAAAGCAATTCCGTAGTAATCCTCAATAAATTGTCTCAGAATACCGGTGGCATCATCACATCCTTCATTGGCTTCTAACCAACTTTGGAGATTTGAAGCCACCCATGACTCGAATAATACCAACTCGTACATCACATACATGCTGTTTATCGATGATGCAACCGGAGGCACTTGAGAACCATAGTCGGTAAGGGGGCAGCTCAACTGAACGGTAAGGGGCTGATTACTTTTCCTACGGTTCCCTATGTCGTTGATAAAATCGACAAGTCTTGAGAGCGACATGTGAGTATCTCGATCAAAGTTAAGATCTTGAAGGCCCTCTAGGCTATTAGGAACCGAGTTTTCTTCCTGGATCCGCGACCATCGATCTTGGAGAATCTGATCAGTCTCGGATATAGTTGAATTTACAAATTCAACGACAGACCTGGGGATAGAATCAACGACCTTACGGTACCGTCTAGAGATTTTGGCACTCATAGATACTAGCAGGTCGCTTGAAAGGCTTTTTGGTCCTTGCGCAAGGATTCGTGCCATGAAGTATATCATGAAGGCTTTGTATATATGTTCTGGACAGGTTGGTGAACTAACCGATCGTGTGAATAGGAGTTGTAAGACGACACGAATAAGTAGCCATAAAGCCGACCTATGCCACGGCAGTTCGGCATCTTCCCAAAGTACTTCTTCGCGAGTATTCTTCCAGATTTTCGTACCTTCTACCTCGTCGCCTATAGATAATAGGAATGCAAAGAAGAGCTCGGTGACTATCTTCGGGTGTGTGGTATCTCGATCTTCATCGTGCATCTTGTTGCTCTTTCTGACCTGGGGTTGGGTATCAGGGGCCGACTGATGGGTCATTTTTGTCAAGGTGTAAGCTACTGTATCTTGGAACTCGCATGTTTGGAAAACAGACAACGGGATAGACACAGCTGCGCCAGGGAAGATCCGACGTAATCTCCCTTCTGTTGAAATGACAGCCTGGTTAGAAGGAGATAGCTCAAACATCTCGACATAAACAGATGTATCCAATCTCGAGAACAAGACACCACAGTTTTGAGCTTGAATATGGCAGGCAACCGTGCCACCTACTATAGTTAACTCACAGATATTTCAAAAGAATTGGGGCATGAACTAACCTTCCTGGTCAAGGAGATGAAAGGCCTTGCGGAGCCCTTTTTGGTCAGTTGATGATTTATCCCCGGCAAAATCGTGGTTACGATGTAGGTGTTCCATCGTAGTGATGGCCGAATCCACAGCGTTGGTTTCATCTCCTTGTACATATTCTCTAAATTCATAGAGAGTTTGAACTACCATTTTTAGTAAGGCTTCGTCATTCTTCACTTCGTAGTCATTCTCATGGGGTAACTGTGGTGGAAGGAACACATGATTGATGATGTAGCGAATTTCTTCCGCGGACAACTCAGCCAGCTTTCTTTGACTAACTTGTGCCATTCTTGCTATGATTGATTCGGATAATAGTAGAATGTAGAACAGTAGATGGAAGTTTAAAGAGATAGAAAGGGTAACTGAATAGGACTAATATATAATGGAATCGTTTGCAGTGTAGGCGTTTTAATGAAGTGATTTCAACTGTACATGTAAATGATGTGTATTAAATTCAGATGTGTAGGAAGGCGGGAAAGTGTGGTTATCTAGGGCTATGTGAGGCTCCAGCGCATAGAGAGGTAGACATCATTTCCATGTCTACCTGGTACTTTGCACCTATCTACTCGGAAAGTTGCATAGCCGCTGACGTATATTATCTAGTAAGAGGCGTTTACCTTCAGTACCTAGATATGCGACATCAATAAAGATATCAATGCCAAGTTTAGTATACTGGATACTTCCAATATTACCTCAATAAATTCACATCTGGAACTACCGATCCTAGGTATATTAGGTACCTAGGTAGGCATTATACCGGATCCTCAGGTAAGAACAGCATCATACCTAGTCTATATTCCCATATCAGCGCCTGATCGTTTTTAAGTGGTTTGGGTACCAACTTACAGTCACAGGGCCAATCTTGATGTGTTACACTACTCGATATGTAACACCTGAATTTTGTGTTTTCTGTTATTTCTCAAATCAAACGGACTGTTGACTATGTTGGTTAGTTCCACGTGTACCAGCCTGCCTAATCGCATATGATAGATCACCGGCAGAGTGCATCAGAGGTAGGTAGCAGCCTGATTGCACAGTATAAATACAGTTAGATGCTACATGATTCCTCGTAGTTAACGTAAATCTTAAGAACGTTGGTGATATGTTACATTCTGCTTCCAACAACAGTAATGGTAGTGTCTGGCGAGTACCTTATCCATGTTAGAAGTTAATGTATGTGAAGTCAACTCGTATGCTCAATTAGTGTCTTAGGAATAGGGATTATTGCATAGGGAAACAAGTAAGGTCTTGGGGGAATGCTATAAGACGGCTAGGTAGAAGAGGTATTATTTGATATATTTGAGGCTGTCGTGAGAAAGTCATAACAAGGTAACTTAGGTATGTACTTCTGTACCTGTTAATACTTTGACAGAGAACCTACATGTAGGTACCTAGGAAGGTACGTACCTTCCATAATGTGGTCGGTTTGTGGCTTAGGAGACTAAAATGGGACTTGATTGGTCAATTCCAAATATTGGCTTGTGCATGTGGGCTATATCCTTGTCTCAAACCAATGCTTGTTCTAAACAGCCTAATCAAATCAACTAGTCCATCTCTTATCATCACTTTCTCCACTTACGCCAACACGCGACTTACTTCCATCAACGCGATTTTATCTAATCTGATAACTTTTGGCCTCTCGTTGATTGAGCTTGTTATTGGAGAATTGGTGGACGCGATACATTGCTCTTAAAGTCCTAATCAACACTAACGTAATACTCTACCCGTTGGGTATCCGACTCCATGGCGCCAACCGTTGAAGCTCTTGAGAAAGATCTCCGTGATGGGGTTCGCGCTCTCGTCGCTGAACGAGGGTGGGACCAGGTGACCGTGAACAACGTCCGACAATATGTTGAGGACAAGGGAGAGCTAGAACAAGGATTCTTCAAGGCATCGGAGTGGGAGGCGCGTAGCAAGAAGATTATCAAAGGATTTGTTGTATGTTTTTTTTTTTTTTTTTTTTTTTTTTACAATATATTTAGGAATAATCGTATATCTGACTAAATCGTGATGCTTAGGCTCAGTTGTTAGCCGAAGAAGATGGAGCTCCATCGTCTCCTCCGGCCAATGTCAAATCAGAAGCTAAAAACGGCATTAAGCGACAATCGAGCGAAGAGCCTTCCCCATTACCCAAGCGCCAGAAGAAAGCATCTCGCGCCGCCCCGTCCAAGAGAGCTAAAGCAAAGAAGGAAGAATCAGAGTCGGCACTTAGCGACTTAGAAGACCAAAGCGACCCAGAAGATGAATCAAAGAAAGCCATTAAGCAGAAGGTCGCTAAAAAGGAGGAGTCTGATTCAGAGCTGAGCGATCTTGATTCACCAGAGGATGAACCTAAGAAAGCTGAGCCACAGAAATCTGTTTCACTTCGAGGATCCAAGAAAGAAGAAACAGAATCTGAGTTAAGTGACCTGGACGATTCAGATAACGAGCCAAAGAAGAGGACAAAGAGCACAAAGAAGGCTACGCCTCGGCGCAAAACCAAAAAGATTACCAAGAACGATGAAGCAGCTAGTGATCTAGAGGACTCGACAGCAGGAAAAAAGCGAAAACGTGCAGTACCTGTTAAGAAGCGAAATATAAAACGCGCTAAGGCAGAATCAGATAATGAAGACGATTTAGCAGACGAGAAGAATGAAGTCACAAAGGATGAAGTTGAATCCGCTGCCGATGAAAAAACTGTGCCTCCACCGGGAGTAAACGCTAAGACTGGATCGAAAGCAGAGGACTCGGGCGAGGATGCTAAACTGAATGCTGTGGATGATAAGGATAACAAAGATATCAAGGAGGCAGACGCCGATGACTCAGGCTCAGATTTGTCATCTGTTATAGATGACCCCCCTCCCAAAAAGCGGAAGCCCAGAGAACCGAAAGGTGCTCCTAAGCCTAAGCAGGCCAAGGAATTATCTGCAGACGATACGGAGATCAAGAAACTTCAAGGTCAACTACTGAAGTGTGGAATTCGCAAAATATGGGGCATCGAATTGAAGAAGTACGGCGACGACAGCAAGGCCAAAATTAGACATCTGAGGGAAATTCTTCGAGATATTGGGATTGAAGGTCGCTTTTCCGAGGCAAAGGCTAAGGAAATCAAGGAAAAAAGGGAACTTATGGCCGACCTAGAAGCTGTCACGGAGATGAATCGGAACTGGGGTAGTGGAGCGGGTAGACGTGCTTCCAGGAGTAATACCACCAAGAAGACGTCGAAAGAGGAATCCGATGAGGATCAAGATGCCAAGGATGAGGAGGATGAGGATGAAGAAGTCAAGGGCAACCCACGCGTGTCAAAGCGAATGGCTGATTTAGCCTTTCTTGGAAGCGACAGCGAGTCTGATTAAATCATCTACAGAGTAATGACAGAGATAAGACTCTCAGTACCGAGTATGATATGAACGGGTCGATGATGAACTTGATGAAGTTTGTGTACTTTTACATGTATTTACTTGCCAGCATTCATCTTCTGAGCTATAAGGCTAAAAATAGCAACCGAGCCCATGAACAAGACAGCATTGTAAAACTAATTCGCATTAGTTGGCTAACGACGACCTATTTTGACTAATAAATTGAGGCACAACTACTCACAGCTCTACGCGAAATCTCCCTCTCTTCATCGTCCGACCTCGCCTCGATGAAGAGTCGACGTAGGTTTGGGAAGTTTGCCTGGGTTGTTTGTTAGTTGATATGAACGTGCCATTCTGACTCAACTTGCCATGTAGCTTAGAGTTTGGTTAAAGTAGTGGATGAATATTCTCGGTATAATCGAATTTACTAATCCAAGTTGGTTTCGACTTAGTAAGGACTTTGTACGAGTCTTTTTGATTATGGTATGGTGTAGAGAGTTGGAAAGTTCTATATTCCTTCAAAGTCTTAAAGTGCTTAGGAGGTAGGCCAAGCTAAGACCTCACTGTCCCACTAGGTACATGGGTACATAGGTACCTATGTCTGTTTCAAGTTCTACTAAGGTTGTGGCTTGTATGTATGTACATTGTGGCTGTTACAAGTGTCATGGATGGAGACACCGACTTGGCTAAAGCTGGCAACCACAACTGCATAAACTGGGCTTAGCCTTTTGATAAGTTGAAGTGGCCAGGGGTTGATTTAACAAGGCGGCATTCTTTCAACCATCATCACCCAATACCCTAACGTGAATCCTTTCTATTCTTTACCGTGACCATAGACGACATAAGCAAGCCAACAACAATTAAATTCTAATTGGAAAGAGGTCGGATGCAGCTATAATAGCCCTGAACGGGCCTTTAATTCACAACCTGTTTCGCCTCCTTGACCTTCCATAAATCCCCCGATACCATATCGAGATGTCGGCAGTTAGTCGCATTCGCGGCGCTTTCGCCGTGCCTAGGAAAGGCGAAACGTTTGAGTTGCGAGCTGGTCTAGTATCTCAATATGCCTGGGAACGGAAAGAATCAATTCAGAAGACTATTATGGCCATGACTCTGGGTAAAGACGTCTCGCAGCTGTTCCCTGATGTACTGAAGAATATCGCGACCGCCGACCTCGACCAAAAGAAGCTCGTCTACCTCTATCTAATGTAAGCGACTTGATAGTCTCTAGGAAAACTCGTCGGGTATCTTGAAATCAATTTAGGTAGTAGGCTTACACAAAGTTTAGGAACTACGCCAAGTCGCACCCTGACCTATGTATCCTCGCCGTCAATACGTTCGTCCAAGATTCTGAAGACCCAAATCCTCTTATAAGAGCACTTGCCATTAGGACCATGGGATGCATTCGAGTAGATAAGATGGTAGACTACATGGAGGAACCTCTGCGAAAAACATTACGAGACGAATCACCATACGTGCGGAAAACAGCTGCTATCTGCGTCGCGAAGCTGTTCGACTTGAACCCATCCATGTGCATAGAAAATGGCTTCCTAGAAATCCTTCAGGAGATGATCGGAGACCCTAATCCTATGGTGGTTGCCAACTCGGTGCAGGCGCTCTCAGAAATAACTGAGACGGCACCTGAGACGAGAGCATTGATTATAACGCCAGCAACGCTCAAAAAATTGCTGATGGCCTTGAACGAGTGCACGGAATGGGGTAGGGTAACTATCCTTTCGACTCTGGCCGATTATCCGCCCCAAGATGTCAAGGAATCAGAGCATATATGCGAACGAGTAACGCCCCAGTTCCAGCATGTGAATCCCAGCGTTGTGCTCGCTGCTGTCAAAGTAGTATTCATCCACATGAGATTAATCAATAGCGATCTTGTCCGACAGTACCTCAAGAAGATGGCACCTCCACTAGGTTAGTTACCATATCCTTTATCTACTTAAGGCTATCACTAATATACATATATTCAGTCACCCTTGTCGCTTCTGCCCCCGAAGTCCAGTATGTCGCGTTACGAAATATCGACCTCCTTTTACAAGCCAAGCCCGATATCTTAAGTAAAGAACTAAGGGTGTTCTTCTGCAAGTACAACGACCCGCCTTACGTCAAACTTCAAAAGCTCGAGATTATGGTGAGGATAGCGAACGAGAAGAACTATGAGCAGTTGCTGGCCGAGTTGAAAGAGTATGCGTTAGAAGTAGATATGGATTTCGTTCGACGAGCTGTCAAGGCTATTGGACAGGTTGCGATCAAAATCGAGAGCGCAAGCGAAAAATGTGTCAACACGTTATTAGATTTGATCGCTACTAAGGTCAACTATGTGGTTCAGGAGGTTATAGTGGTCATCAAGGATATCCTCCGAAAATACCCCGGTTACGAAGGCGTCATTCCGACGCTCTGTAATCATATCGACGAGCTGGATGAGCCTGACGCCAGGGGCGGGCTAATATGGATTGTTGGCGAGTATGCAGAAAAGATTAATAACGCAGATGAAATATTGGCGAGCTTTGTGGATGTCTTTCTGGAGGAGTTTACACAGACGCAACTACAAATCCTCACAGCAGTTGTCAAATTATTCTTGAAAAAGCCAAGCAACAATCAAGGATTGGTACAGAAGGTTCTACAGGCTGCAACGGCGGAAAATGATAACCCAGATATTCGAGACCGAGCATATGTCTATTGGCGACTTTTGTCGGGGGATCTTGCTATTGCAAAGGTACCGTATTCTCCGACCCCCCCTTTTGATTAGTTTGGTAATTAACTGGTCCTAGAGTATTGTTCTCTCTCAGAAACCCGCCATTTCAACTACAATGACAAGCTTGCCGACAACTTTACTAGAACAACTACTCGGTGAACTTTCGACTTTGGCCTCGGTCTACCATAAACCACCGGAGTCTTTCGTTGGTAAAGGTCGTTTTGGTGCCGACGAGATCCAACGAGCAGCAATCCAAGAACAACGGCAGGATGCGGCTGACAATCCTATCGCGGCATCGGTTGCTGGCGCTAGTCAGAACGGGGAACCGGCACAGAACAACATCGAAAACCTTTTGGATATTGATTTCGACGGTGCCGCGCCAGCTTCACAAGAGCAGAACTCGGCGTCAGCTACACCGGATCGCGTAGCAAGTCCGGCCGGCGGAGCTCCATCGGGGGGGATGGCAGATATGATGGGCCTCTTTGATGCCCCGCCACCTCAAAACAAACCCGTGAGCAGTGGTGTGAATGATATCATGAACGGATTTGGAGGATTGGATTTAAGCGGGTCAAGTCAGCCTCCTCCAGCATCGGTACAACTTGGCCACGAAGGTGCGAGCACAGAACAGAAAACTACGAACAATGATGATCTACTAGGTCTCTTCTAGGCGAAGCGCAACCTACGTCCTCGTTTAGCGGGAACTCCAAATCCCTAGGCCGGAGATGGCCGAGGGGACAACAGCGGGAACGACCTGTTGGATCTGTAATAGAATAGATTTCGATAACGTTACTAGGTCGTAACAGCGTTGGGGAAAGGGAAAAGGGAACCTTCAGGGAGGCTTGTTAAGATGTGATATCGTGAAATAATGATAAGCATAACGCCTAGTTTACTAGCTGAAAAATCATGATGCAAAGATAGGTCTTCGCCTAACGCGTGCCCCGTACTCCTAGAGCTCCATGTCTTAAGCTTATCCAAAGCTCATTCGCCTAAGCGTCTCTTTTCTCTCGTCCCTACAACGGGGATCTGGTAGTCATGTATGGTAGAGTATATCTCCTCCCATCCTATATGTACCTAGGTAGGGAACCACTGCGAATCCTTAAAATATGCATAAGGTACCTAATACATATATCCTCCCGTAGTGGACCTCGACTCACGCATCAACACCCGTAACTTGCCCCCGCACGGTGCCGTCCAGAGGCGGGCCGCTGTTCTTGTCCTTGTCCTTGTCGCGCTGCCACTCGTCGGGCGTCAGACATTTGGCGCTCCAGGCGTGGATGGCGGCGATCTCATCGCGCAGGGCGGCGTTGACGGCGCGGTGTCGCTTTAGGCTGTTCTGGCCTGCGAATTGCGGCGATACGATTAGGGATGTGAAGGATTGGCCGCAGCCGCCTGGGGGAATTTGCGCGTGTTAGTTTAGGTGGTTTATTTTCGGCGTTAGGGGGGAATGATAAGGAAAGGAAGAGAGAGGAAGGGAAGGCGAAGGGGAAGGGGAAGGAAAGGGAAATGTACCGGACATGTCGGTTACTTCGACGTGGATTGCCTTTAGTCGCTCCGTCAAGGCCGCTTTGAGCGACGTTTCGGTGATTGTGGGCTCGCCCATTTCTTGGTGGTGGTAGTAATATTAATATATATGGAGGGGATAGGGTTTTCTTATAGATGTCTACCGTAGTTGGTGTGATTCGCTGGTTTGTGTTTATATGTAGTAGGAAGAAGAATATAATAGCGAAGAATAAATAAAGCCGATGAAGCGTCGAATAGAAGGAATATAGGTACCTACTAACCTCAGTAGATGGTGGTTACCTACACAGATGCCCCGCGATGATGACATTACATAGATCTCGGCTGGTAGCGAAGGAATAGCTCCGACAACTGAATTGTCGATAGTGGGGTGTGGGGTAATGGTGTTGAAGTTAAGCTAAGGGAAGCTAAGGAAACCAACCTTAAGCGATTTGTGTCTCGTATGATAAGAGAGATAGACTGGTACCTATCTTAGGTACCTAATGTTACCATAATTATTGAGATATTCAAGTAAAACTTCATGCCATGTCCCTTTGGCAACGGACGGATAATCTAAAGATTTTGTCGAAGCATATATCTAAATTCTCTTCGAACCTTTTACCCCGCGCTCATCAAATTGGAAAAATAGCCCTCACGTTTAGCTTTACTGGTGAGAATAGAAGCTATATACTCCAGCTGCGGAATTTTAAGTCTTCTTATACTGCGACAAGACAAGAGCGTACCTTTAGCTCATCTAGAATCATGGCAGCTCCACCGGCGGCTAGTCTTACGGATGCGGTCGTTGCTGCGATGAGAACACTGTTAGTCATCATTCTGAGTCCTACTTCTCATTAAATTTCATATCAAGCTAACCTCGCCCTAGTTTCCCAGAAGAACTAGCAGATAATGCGTGGGATAACACAGGATGTGAGAGACAAGTCTGTATATGGTGTGTGTTATTGAATATAAAGCTAATAGTGAGATAGTACTTCTCGGACAAGCCCCTTTGTCGTCATCCTCAGTGATTAAAAAGGAGACTGGTGGTACCGTTCTTCTCACCAATGACTTAACTTCCGTTGTGGTGGACGAGGCATTGGCAGAAGGAGCCAATATGATTGTCTGCTATCGTATGAGTTGCACCAATAATTGCATATTCTAGCTAAGGTGACGGCATTGACGACTAACATTGTATAGATCCCATTATCTTTAGACCTCTAAAATCCCTTACTACCAAGGACCCCATGCAGACTCTCCTCTTACGCCTAGCAGCTGAGAGGATCTCCGTCTACTGTCCCCATACGGCCATGGACGCAGCGAGTGGAGGACTTAACGACTGGCTTTGCGACATCCTGTTAGGTGGAGAACACCAGGTGCAGCGAACAGTCGTCCAACCCATTTCTAGGCCTCTACCTGAAGGGCACGAAGGCACTGGCTATGGACGAGCATTTGAGTTGGCTCAGCCCATCAACTTGCAGACCCTTCTGCGGCGACTCTCTGCCGGTATAGGCAACCAACGATATATGATGGTCGCTCTACCGCCGTCACTAAAGGACCTCACCAGGACGCAGGAAATCACCAAGGTGGCTGTCTGTGCAGGTTCGGGTTCTGATGTCTTAAAAGATACCGATGCTCAGGTCTTGGTGACGGGTGAGATGGCGCACCATTATGCGCTCCGGCATACCCAGCTAGGCCAGATTGTCGTCACCGTCTTCCACAGTAACTCGGAGCGGAAGTATCTAGAGACGAGATTAAAGCCCATGTTGGAGGTCGAATTGGAGACGACGGCGTACGGGGACACCCGCATAATTGTTAGCAAAGCGGACCGTGATCCCTTCGAGGTAATCGACGTTAGAGACCTAGCCTAGGCACTTAGCGCGGCTCGTTTGTGTGGTCGAGGGTAATTCACATGGTAGTCGACTACTATTCGTTGACGCTTCAATCGTCCACCTTGTCGCTTAGAACATCGTTCAATCTAAATGCTCAATCATGCCGATTCTTGGGTATTCAAATCCCTCCAGTCTCCCTTGCTCGGTTCACCTTTCAAAGCTGCGTCGCCGTCTTCTATGCACGCGTCTACGTCTAAACCACCGATACCCTGTTCCTTCCATACTAATAGAAGTTTGCGTGGCATTTTCCACGCCTGTCTCGCATCTTCTAGTCGTCCTTCACTGACAAGCGCTCGTATCTTATCCGGAGCATCTAGAACCTCGATTGCCAGCTGTTTCGTTCGTGCTCTCCTCTGGCGCGCCTCTTCCGCTTGGGCCCTGGCTTTATCGGGTGGTGGGACAGATTTACGTAGCGAGTCTCGTATTTCCGAGGCTTGAGAGTATATCTGAGCAATCGCTGGATCGAGTGTAGAAGCCATAGGGTTCAATGGGTCCATATTCGTTCGCATCTTACATGTGTATTAGTACATAGCTCCCGTTCCATAACATATACACATATACCCTCTTCAGCTTAAATGGATTATAAGACTAACCTTGCGTATTGTTTCCGTAGCTGTGATCAGCTTGCTGTAATTGTCGTATACGAGTGCCTTCTTCTCAGCGTCCAGTGCCCTTATCTCACCCAGCACCCGCGTATACAGCCGCAGTAACTCTTCCATACCATTTTCAGCCAGCGCCTTCTTAACAAAAGCATCCACATCGAATCCTTCTCTGTCTATTTCGCTAGGGGGAACTTCCGAGTACTGCTCATGAGGCTCGCCTGAGGTCTCCCCGAACGGATCTGTCACCTCCACTTGGGGCGGCGTTGCAGCTGGTTGCTTCTTTAGGTTGTAATACTCGCGCAGGGCGGCACGATTTCGCTTCGTAGCTGGAGGGTTTGCCACGGTGACTGTTTTCGGACTACTGCTGCTACTCGGATTCGGTGAGCCGATAGGCGATCGTGAGACATCGAGACTTGGTCGCGTCGACGAGGTCGGCGTAGTGCCTGAGTTCATGCGCCGCGGGGGGTCGCGGGGCGAGGCAATTGTAGACATTTTGACATGTGAGATGTATTATCTTAGTTATGGTGGATAGTGTGATCAACGATATGTGAAATGGCGAGATATTAGCTGTTTAATCCCAAGTATTGCGACGTTTGACGTTTCCAGATGCCAGATTTAGGTAAGAGAGTAGGAAGCATTAGTGAGGCTGTAGCGCATTAGCTGCCGATCTCCCGCATTCATAGCGTGCAAAGCCACTGTGGCGAGAGCTATCATGCCCCTATTACGTATCGAGGTATCTCGCTAATTGGAAAGAACTTGACGAGCTGGACTTGCATGGTACACTACATGCACTATATGTTAGGTACCTAACCTACCTGCCGTCTGATATTAACTTCCATATATTAACTTTCGTTAGAGATATATCGCATTATGTCATTCTCTGTTTGTCGAAGATGAAGCTTATATAACCAAACTACTACAAGAGAGTGTTCGTGTTACGAATTAGACCCGCCCATCTCTCAAAAAGCATAAATCTGAAAAAAAAAAAAAAAAATGAAATTCTGCATAAGTATAGTCACCACCCGACGTCTGTCACCATGAGTTTAGACCTACCAATACAAATCCGCGCCAGCTTACAGAGCCAAGGACTACCAACTCCATCTTTGACTTGGATCCAGAGCGCTATGCCAAACCGGAACCCGCTACCTCCCTTGCCCGCCTTGATAGCTACCGTGAAAACACGTCTGCTAGCAGCCGACCTGACGAGTCCAGGCCTCTGGGAGTCGCCATCACCAGCGTTTCCATCCAATTTGGGTAACCCGGAAGTCAAAGAGATTAAACTCTCCCGAGATGTCCCCGTGCAAGTCTTAGATATCGACAACCTGTCCAAGAGCAAGTGGGATCAAGTAGAGGAGCTCGAGGCCATCGCGCGTGGTGAGCAAACGCGAGGCCGAGAAATCATTCGTCTACCCACCGGCAACGAGGAGGACGAAGAGGATGGCGTAGCCAGCCAGAATGCGTCGACGGCCACGGGTAGGAACGCGGCCGTCAACGCTAACGTGGCAAACGCCGCGGCCGCCGCGAGGAACGCGACGCACAGGCTCGTGATGCAGGACTGCAAGGGCCAGAAGGTGCACGGACTGGAACTAAAGCGCATCGATCGCATCGGTATTAGCTCGCTTAATATCGGCGAGAAGATGATTCTAAAACGAGGCACGACCATCGCGCGTGGTATCGTCCTTCTGGAACCGGCGACTTGCGTCGTATTAGGTGGGAAGGTCGAGGCGTGGCATAGAACCTGGGTAGACGGGCGGTTGACTAGGCTAAAGGAGGCGGTTGGTGCTGATGTTCGCAGTTAAGCCGTTTTTATTAGACTGTCATAAGAAAAAGGAGAAGGTAACGAGAGTATATGATAGAGGATAGAGGATAGAGGTCATATTTGGTTTGGTCAACTTAGTCCATAGTGTATATAAGTGTAATTGGTCAAGTTTAAAACTAGCATTATAATATTGCGAGTGTTGACCTAATATAGTGTATAATATAGTGTATAAGAACAGCTCTATAATATTTTAGGTAGTGGTCATAGACTAACCTCCCAGATAGACTAACGTCACTGTTCTTAAATTGTATTTTCTAGTTTGTAGTATGCATAAAAGTGAAGATAGGTACATGTACCTACCTAGGTAAGCTCTTCACGTCATATTACAACAAAGTTTTGTTTATTCCGGACAAAGAAGAATGGACTCGGCCGAGTCTATGTATAGGGCCTTTATCAGGTACCTTGAGACCCTAAAAGCCAGATACGCGGGTGCTTAGCGTAGTGGATCCTACCAACTAACCCAAATTCTTGGTAGGCATCTGCAGGGTTAGGTAATAGTTATATACATAAGCTCACGACGCGCAATCGCGATCAACTAATCAACTATCAACTACACTCATTCATCTCTCAACTACACTCATTCATCTCTCAACTTCCCATTACCGAAACATCATAGCTTTCACTTGACTTATATTATTTATCATAGTTCATAATATTATCTATATAAAGTCAATAATCATTTATATCGACGCGATCTTGCTCGTTATATATTTCATGAGCTATTATGAACCCAATCCGTAATAGCCGCACTTCAATCTACGATTACAGCAGAATATGTCTATAAGACAATTCCCTAAAATAGCAAGGCTCCCATTCTTTGGCTCCCTATACCAGTCGGCCATTAATGCCACCCAGGCACACGATGACGGTCAAGCTTTGCTCGAAGATGATGCGTTAAGTATTCCACTTGAGAGCAATGAGCCAGCCTCTGACTCAGCTTCACGACAACCAAGATTAGTAGCAAGAAGCTATCGTCCCGCCGCTTCGTGGCAAAATAAGTCATGTCAATACGTGATTTTCTTGGCGATATTAGCTGGCCTGTTGCTGGCGGTATTGCTGCCTCGCCGTCGTACCACTTATATACCTCGAGTTGACGGCCTACTACCCTGTGGTAGTTCAAGGTATTCGATTAATGAAGTGAGTTTAAGGCACACCCCTATCAAGTCCCGAGAAGCCACTTCTAAATCAACAAGCATACGTGCTATCGTGGTAATTTTCTTTGTCCGGTTGTCGACAAGAAACGCACATTGCAGTGTGGTAACGATTGCTATCTGCCTCACCTATTCTCGTAAGTCATTTGCCGTATATATGTGGTAAGCTTACTTACAACTCCAAGTTGTGACAATGGGAACCTAATATCATTACCGGAACCTGACTTGGACGAAAAGTTGCCATCTAAAGACGCCGGTCGGGAATTGTGTACATCCAGCTATCTCCACTTAAGCGATCCTCCATATGATAATTACTTCGCAGCCGATTGTAGCAGTGCAAGTCAAGTCGTTGTGACAAGCCCATTACCTGGTAACAATCTCAAGATTATCGGACCTAGACTTCTAGTAAGAACTGCGGCCTTATTATTTCCTTAATTACCACACGACGGTTGAGACTGATGTGTATCAGATCGCTTGGCCAGCCGGTAATAGCGGGATCGTGTTATATTTCTCACCACAAAGTGGCGTCAATGGAACACTCGGTATAGAGCTTGAAAATCTTGCTGGCGTAAATCGTACATTAAACCCGCTTATTGGCGGAATAAGCGGTATTATGTCTCTTAACTCATCTGCTACCCTTAACTTGGCTATTCTAGGAAGTATTAGAACGATACGGGAATTTGTCGAAGGACCAAGCATTCTTTCACCTAAGATACAAGATGCAATCGCGATTCAAACATTGCCCGATGGGGGTGTCCAGCTCAATCGCGTATGGCTCGACGGAACAACGGAGACATTTCTCACAATACACAACCTCAATAGTACTTCTATCCCCGTCAAAGACGGCCATCCTCGCCTTACAAGTGGTTCTTATGCCTTCAATGCCTGGAGCAGCTATCCACAACTTGACCAACTCGGGACCACTAGGGTCATCAATCCCGCCTCTAAATCTATCATATCGCAGAATCAGGAGGACGTAGAATCGCTCGCGTTTTTATCATACCGCTCCAAGATTTTAGCTGGAGCTTGGCGGTTCCTTACCTATTTCGGACGCGACAGTCTCGTATCACTTCTTCTACTCAAACCTATACTTAGTGAGGGTGACGGGAGCGCAATTGAGGCTATTCTCGAGGCAGCCATTGAGCGAATTAACTCGGAAGATGGCAGCGTCTGTCACGAAGAAACCATTGGTGACTACGCATCGTACTTGAACGCCCAGCAGGGGATAAACAGCGCAGATCCCTTGTGCGACTATAAGATGGTTGACACTGACTTCTTTTTCCTGATTGCAATTGACGAGTATTTTGTCAAGTCTGCCGTTGGAAGAACTCGCCGCGATCTGTTCTTCTCTAGGAATGCGACCATCCTTTCCGCAAACCGTGGGCTTGCATATAGAGATCTTGTTTTGGCTACCGCGGAAAAGATCATGAAACACACCGCTAACTTTGAAAAATCTCCCGTAAAAGAGAACCTTATACATATCAATAAGGGACAAACGGTAGGACAATGGCGTGACAGCCCTAACGGTTTAGGCGGAGGCCGTATACCATACGACGTGAATACGGCTTTAGCTCCGGCAGCACTCAAGTCCATCGCCTCGTTATCTGACAATGGATTCTTCCCTTCACATTCAGACTGGAATGCGGTTGCTCATAAGCGTGCCGCTATCTGGGAAGATAATACCCTTTCTTTCTTCCAAGTCAATATTACGGCAGAAAAAGCCCGAGGTCTTGTTGAGCGCTATATCGACGAGGAAAGGTTCCCAGGCAAGGTCAATTCGTCAGACTTGAACTCGCCAGTTATATTCCACGGTTTAGCTCTCACCGGTGATGGACAATCGATTATTCAAGTGATGAATACAGATGACTGCTTCCGCCTTTTTCTTCTTAATGGTACTGACCAAGTCCAGGTCTCCACCTTCCTCTCTCAAGTAACAGATAATATCCTGCGCCAATTCCCCCTGGGTCTTTCTACAAGTGTCGGAATAGTCGTCGCAAATCCTGCTTACGGTGATGGATCCGTGAACGTGAAAGAATTTACAGAAAGTGCGTATCACGGTACAGTGGTCTGGGGTTGGCAACTTGCGATGATGGCTGCAGGGTTGGAGAGACAGCTTGGGCGATGCGAGGACGAGGAGTTGGCGTATTGCGAGGACACGAAATTGCACGGGCGTGTGCTCAAGGCGTATAACCACGTATGGGATCTAATCGACGCCAATCGTAAGCGCCTAAGCAATGAGGTCTGGAGTTGGGTCTACAAGGACGACGACTTTCATTACACACCTTTAGGTGCTCTACCGCCCCCTGACGGGCAAAGCCCAGTTGGTCCGTGAGATATTGCTGAGAATTTCGAGGAAAGCAGCTAACGCGTTTGATAGAGAGTGATATTCGACAACTTTGGAGTCTGGCCTTCTTGGCAATGAAGAGAAATGAATTGTATAGTTCCTCCTGAGCACGAAACCACGAACTTTATGCAGCATCAAGGATGCTGTAAATGAGGCTCGACATGGTATAGCATCTATTCCTTGTCCCTCTTGCGGTGAGTATGCCATCCCGACAACCAGGAGAAGTAGGCATCCGGGCCTCATGTATTATCATGCCTAGCATAAATTACATCTCATTTCATAAACGAAGAACAACTGCATGGAGGTGGAGCTCTACCGAGTTTCCGGACCCTGTGATCTAACTAATCGATATATTATAGGATGATAACGTTGTTTAAAGGTCAACAACTTTGAGGCGTGTACGAGGCAAGATTTTAAGGTATTATAATTGCACAATTTTGGAAGCGAGAGTAATGCAGGGGTTTCTGTTGTATGTACCTGCAGGTTTAATAATTTGTTCTTATTATGCTGACCACCAACTACATAGGTAGGCTGGACCCCAATACCACCTACGACCTGGTATCGTCTAAAATCTTCAATCTTTTCTTAATTTACCCCTCGGGACATAAACAGGTTGCATATGTTTCAGTTACGGAGATGAGTAATTGCATCTAGGATAATAATCTCATCTCACTAGTATATCACATGCCCTCGTCTTGACAGATGACACTTAAAGTCATTATTTATTGTTTCAAGTTGTACTATTTTGGGTCGGCAAATTTAGTTGTCTGCGGGCCGGCCTATTGTCTTTAATTTTTTTCCCCGCTGACTGCCGCCAGGCTGTCTCAACATTATCAAGCCAACGAAGCCGGGGAGAAACGAAAAAAAAAAAAAAAAGAAAAAGAAACCCCCCGATGGATTACATACATACCTCTTACCTAGCAGGTACCTATCTTGAAGACACGCTACATAATACGTAGATAGGTACCTACAGGTATATATCCATCTTCTTACCTCTATATGTAGATACGGTGTTACATCACCCACATTGGTACGTTGTTTTGAACACTGCGTATTTCTGGAATAAGGCTGAGGCGTCTGCTCCGCGAACCATTCTTCTTTAGCATTTCCATCCTTTCTTCCCCGCTGCAATTCTGCGCAGTCTATGCTGCTCTTGTGATCATTAGCTAATCTTATATACATGTACATAGCCCCAAGTCGAAATGGTATTATCCAGCCTGAACTCACTAGAGAGACGCCCCTCCTTTCCCTGGCTCGCTAAACTATTGCAGATACTTTTGGATTCTTAGTTTGACGTTGATACACATTATCACAGCAATTATACATGAACGGACATGGGACCTACATTTTAGTTTCCTGGCGGACAATGTCGTCTTGCCCCCAGCAATATTGGCCCTCAGCTGATCCCGCCATAACACCACGGTTGTTGAAAGCCGGCTCGTCGCCGAGTGAGAATTAACCCATCCACTCTCGAAATGGATTCCCCATTTTTCCACTGCCAGGATAGGTATCTACCACACCTCCCCCAAGGAGTATAAGTATAGATATAAGTGGGGATTGTACTCTTCTCTCTTATACCTACCTAGGTACGCTTACTGCTAGGCCCTCGAAGGGGTCTTGTACTTCTGTTGCCTACCCGTCTCATCGCCCGCCTCTCTATGTATGCATTGCAGTCTCTACTGCATATGTTCAGACGAATTGGTTCGACATGTAGGTCTTGGCCGCATCTATACATACTCCCGTTGATCGTTAACAATTTGTCAAGTATAATTCCTTCGGGGTCGGAAGTCGTAGTTAAGCTTGGGGTACTCTCACCATGGTAGAACCCATTCCTCATAAATAAGGACCCTCACCATCCTGTTTTTGGGAGTTCTAACCTGCTTGACTCTAACTTCAAAGACAGACAATTTCATATTTTCAAAGTCCAATTCCTATACCAACGACATCCGACCTATTCCACGCTATAAGACCCGCCGAATTCCTTTCTCCAAGATCCTTATAATTCTTCGTCTTCGATCTTTAGCATAGTGTTATCATATATTCAAGTCAAACTATTATCATTATGTCGAATACACCTTCGTCCATCGGAATCAACCTTGACGGTTGTTCATCTGGCCCGTAAGTCAATTCTCCCAAATAATAATGGCAAGCCCACCACTAACCTCGAATTCGCTTAGGCACGGGCCGTTAACTGGATCTCCTCGGGAGAGAGATAGCATGCGGGACCAACGTCTTGCTATGACGCAGCAACCAGGAACAGACAGCTTTACCGACCGTTACCTCAGCGGTAGAGCTGGTTCTCATGACCACGAAGCAACTATGAGAGAAAAGCTTGCGGACCTAACACCCCGACTCCCTTCGACCACAACGAACGGATCAACTAGCGGCAGTGGCAATTCCACGTAGCTGCCTTTATACTACGATACAACTTCACGACTATTATGTACAATACTGTTCATCTGGCAGAAGCATGCCAAAGGTGGATGTGATACCATTTTACTACCATATGAGATTACTTGAGCGGCGGAATAATCACCGGACTATCCCTTATAATGTATTTTCTTTACTTTTGTTTTAATAATTAGAGGTGGGGTTCTCTTATCTCTCTACTTTTTTTACTCACGAAGGAAGGATTTCGGGTTTCTTGTTGGCAGGGCGGGGTTCGAACGACTTCATGTACAACACGAAAAATTTCATTTACAACATTTATGCCTAGGTAGATTTCGAGCATGGGACATTTCACGTCTTGCTTTTCTACTCATGTAACATTATACCCTTTATCTCGTTTTCTGGATACTATGTACTGGTAGGAAGTTCTAGCAGGGTGTTGGGTTTCCTTATTCCAGAAGATTCATTAATAAAAGTTTTGCTTTTGTCCCTTCCAGGTACAACATGACGCAAGGTGCAGTATATGGCGCAGTCATCGATATACATGCCGTAGAAACAGTGCCATAGCCCATATGTGTAATCCTTACACCCTGTCTCCCACGTGCGGCAACAAAGTTAATCTACCTTTCTCCCCATAGATCAGCGATCCGCAGTCCTGCCCAGAAGCTTAGGTCAGGGGTTTGCGGCTCAAACCCGACTTGGCAGTACCTAATTGTACATTTGGCCGTCCAATCGGGCAGTCCGTCAACCAGTACGACAGCAAGCAGGCTACCATAGGTACCTAAGGTAGATACCAAGGTAGGTAGCGAGTCAATCTACCGGAAGCTTAGCTTCCCGTCATCGGTACACAGCTTCATAACGTCTTTAGAGGTACACGACTTTACTTATGCTAAAGGATAGTAAAAAGAGACATGTTAGAGACATGCTTCTTGTAAGACTCAACCCAAGAGCTAAAAATACTGTCGCCGGTGCTATCATTCTAACTAGGTACCTATTTACATTGGATTATTAATACCCTATGAGTTTCCATCTTGTCCTATTGCAAATGATAGGAAACCAACCAGCGGCATTTGTTGACCTTCCTATCTTGTCCTTTTCTGTAAGTATGGTGGTCGTTGTTTCATCGCACATACATCACTGCCGCGTCCGAGGTGAGCTGTTTTTAAAGCACGCTGATAAACTGACAACTATGTATGTTCTCTATGCCTATTGGACCAGACCAAGGGAGCTGGGGGAGTTTCAGCGCGCGTCGGTTGTGCAATGGTTGCTACCCTACAACACGATAGTGTCTAGCCCTAAGTACCATGCGTTAAACCGCACCAACAGCCTCTTTGCCAAGTCTCGAGAGCACGAGCTAGACGAATAGATGTTACCTCGTGTCCCTGGCAGCTTTGAGATATGACGGATTGGCAACATGCCAGATGGAATCCCTGTTACCTTTGCATCATTTCGGCACGTTTATGCACGACTTACTGGGATAATTTACTGGGTTAGCACGTGGCTTATAAGATCGTCTTGGGTGTTGCCAATGATAGTGGGTTATTCGAATGTCTCTAAAAATCCCATCCAAGAGCTGAATACTACCCACACCACGCCTTCATCTACATACACATACATAACAATGCCACGCGCCCACCCCTCGTGCAGCAGCGATCAATCCTTTCTTTTTTCAGAAGCATAGCATGTCGCGTCATAAAATTTATCGGATTTATACTGTGTTTTCTTCTTCCAGAAGGTGTCACTAAAGCTAAGCCAGGCCGACCAACCCCTTGGCGCTTAACTGTGCCTCTATTACATACATGAAGAACAGGTCTGTACAGGGGTCCATCTGACAAGAACGTGTCACTGTATAACACGTTCATGTCTTTTCCGGGCCAGCTTCAATTGCCGTACGGAAGGCGTCCCTGCTAATGTACCTTAGAGGTAGGTATGCTGGTATGTAAAATAATCCTACCCAAAGTACCTATTCTACCGGTATATCATAATACTCCACGATTCTTATTCGTATAACTATGGGTACTATAGTTTCGACACCAAGGCCTCGGATTAGCCACTCAATCATTTACCCTTTGGATACGTATTTCATATGTACATCCACCTTTTTTTTATAGATCCGAGTCCCGATCAACGGGACAAATCTCAGGGGAAATAATGTCTTTGATCCCTGCGCCACGTGGTGACGATGGAAATATCCGAGCGGTAGCAAGGATAGCCTAGTTCATCGCGTCGCCCTACAAAACAGAGGCATATATGCGGTTCAATGCCTGGTACATATTACCTACCTACCTATTTACATGCATATGACACATGGTACCATGTACGGTTATCAAGCAAGTTTGAGACACTTATGATTAGTTGAGATTTCACAGCTTATTACGAAATATCAAGAAGTTTCGAAATATCTTAGTCTTAACCGGTGGCATATTATCGGCGCCGGCACAGCAGATGGCCAAGCCCAATTGCTTGGAGAATTGGAATATTCCAACGCTCGAACAGGCACTGCTACGGTTGACCAGACAGGATACTGTGCCAAAATGAAAAAAATATAAAAATTAAACCTAAACAGGTAGTTAAACACAGATTTATCCAATTAACTTAGT